TTATTGGACGGTGCGGTACATGGAGAGGTTGGGGTCGAAGAGCACGCTGAGGATCTCAAAATCGTCTCCGTGGGGCCTGCACTTATCTAAAATGTGAACGTTCTCTTTCGTCGCCTTAAAAGCCACCTGGTTGGCCGCGCCCCACATGTGAAGCGTAGTCTGGCACCCGCGGCACGCAGCGAGGATCGACGAATTGGTTGCCGCACCGTCGAACTCTTTCCAGCAATTGAGGTCGTCTGCGAAAACGCATTCAGTAAAACCGACCGAGGAAATGGCAAGTTCAGATTCACTATAGAATGCGTTTCAAAAGGGCGGCCCCAGAACCGTGCCCTGGAAAACCATGTCCCGCAGCAAGAAAGCATGAGAAAGGACCCCATCCACACTGAAATGCGCCTGTCTTTTCGCAAGCCACGACCGAATAACCTTCAGAAAAGATTCGCATACCCTTGAAAAACGCAATTTGGCCACGAGGCGATCGGAATTGACATTGCCGAATGCGCAGGCCACGCCCGAACAGTACACCCCCACATTCCTGCCCCTGCTGGCAGCCGAGATCCAGCAGCACACCATGAGTGCCAGTGCATCTCTGTAGCCCCGATGTGTGGGATATGCGAACTGGTGGCCTCCGCATGGTTCACTGGACTACTTTGCTGAGCTGGGATGTGAGATAAATTCCGCTATAGTTCGAAGGATTCGATCGAATTTTTTTCTTGAACAGCGGGTGCAGCCAGCGAAGCGTCCATGATTCAGGCCACTCGCCACGAAGCAAATCCAAGCGCGCCAGCATGGCAATAGGTGTGGCCAGCTGCGGCGCACATGCCTTCAGAGTCCGACATGACAGTCCATCGGGGCCAGTGCCGCTGTCTTCTCGCAACCTGCGTAAGATGCGCAGAATCGACCCAGGACCATTTCGGTATGACGCTGGCCATTGAAATCACGCCTGGCACACGTGCGGAAGAGAACGCATTGTCAATTGCAGGCGAAGTCCAAATTTCGCACAGAAGGTCTCTGCAAACATGTCGGCCTTTGCACGAGCTGACAAAGCCCGCGACCCATCTTGCGACTGAAGCGGAGGAAATAATCACATAGGACCCACCATTTCTTGCATGATGGCCGCATGACAAACATACGTTGCCGTGTCCGCTGAACGTATTTGTCGTAATCACGACGGAGGCCAGCAGGGCACTCATCCCGTTTACGTTCCCGTAGGGTTCAACCTTTATTCCTGGTCAGCTCCAGGCACGCTTCGTGAATCCACGGGTGGGTGGACTTCCAGACGACTGCGGTGAAGGCCGGGATGAACTCTTTCGCCGCGTCCCAAGTTATACCCGCGAGCTTAGCTGCAGCGGCTGACGGTGAGCATGGTGCAAAAAACAATTTCCAGTCCATATCCTGGAATTCGGCGCGAAGTCGGGGCCACTGAGCATGTTGAAACAACCAGTGTTCTCGAGCAGTCGGTGCAGAACGCTGCGCGCGCATAGCCGTAGACACGTATACCATATGATGGTCGTGCTCAAGTCAAGCTGGAGGACACATCCGCGAAGACAAGGTGCAGAAAGTTGTTCCCTCGAGTCGGGTTCCCAACTTTTCCTGTAGTCCAATGCGGTTGCAAATGTCGAGCAGGACCATCCCTTCCTTGGATGCACTCTGAGAGGAAAAATGCAACCACTGACTGTGATGGACGTTCATGTCACCCGCGGCGATGGTGCCCACGACCTGCTGCTGGTAATCGCGCCACTCCGCCAATAGAGAGTGAATGGTGTCGACCTCTCCCTGCTCGGGAGGCCGGTGCCAAAGCGCAGACAACATTGGACAAATTTTCATGTGGACGATGTGCCAAGACCGCTCGGCATAGAGAGAATCACCAACATGGGCGACGCAGTTCTTGAAGAACTCTTTTAGCGAATTGAATTATGCCGATACCTTGTCTGCCGTCGCGGCAGTCGAGTCGTGATACAACCGTGTAGGAAGGCAACAAAGTTTCCGTAACAGACCCGTGCAACCATTTTTCAGTGGTTGCCACGGGATCGGGGAATTGCAGAATTTCAAGTCGGCATAGTGTGAAAGAAAGGCGTGCGAATTCACAAGCAGCGTGGACAAATAGCGTTCTAGAATTGCACGAGCCTTCGCCAGGAGGGCACTGACGATCCGACTTCTGAAGCCAATGGTGGCGCCGAGTGTGACGTGCGAGATCATACCGAGGACCTCGACGTCGCTGGCGTCGGGGCGTCAGCTGCAGGGGCCGCCCATCCGCCAGAGACTGGCGGGCGTGCCAAGGGACGTGAACATAATGCGAATGTGGAAGGGTGCAATGATGAAGAGCGGCCCCGAGTAATCCCTATGGGATGACGAAGTCCGCGAATGGCTGCATGAAGCCCCACTTGGCGTCGTTTTCCTCCTGCTTGAATGCGGCGGTGCCGTTAACAATCACAAGCCGATGCAGCGAAACGTCGATTTTCCATGCACTCTTGACCTCCAAAGTAGAGGATTTGATTCACTCCTGGACCTTTCGCACGGCATAGTTCCGCTTGCGTTGTAATTCCGCGCGGGCGTGTTTATCATCATTTGGTGTTATCGACGTTGAGCTCAGTGTTGGACAACGACACGTTCGAGAGGAGCGCTTTTGGCGACCTCGACGCTGGAGACCTCGACCCAAGATCCCGGGGAAAGTCTATGACTCGTGTCTGGACCCTTGTACTCATTACCGAATCCAGTCCAAGGGTAGCGGGGCGTGGCAGGCGTGACATTTTCTCAATGCCACAGGCGGTGCGTAGAGGGTGGTCCTTCACCGCGGTCTCTATCCGTCCCAAGGTAGCGGGGCGTGGCAGGCGTGGGGGGGTGCGCAAGGGGTGGTCCCTCACCGCGGCCTCTATCCGTCCCACGCTCGCGGGGCGCGGCAGGCGTGGTACTTTCTCCACGCCACAGGGGGTGCGTAGGGGGTGGTCCCGCACCGCGGTCTCTATCCGTTGCAGGGTCGCGGGGCGCGGCAGCCGTGGCATTTTCTCCACGCCAAAGGGGGTGCGTATGGGGTGGTCCCTCACCGCGGTCTCTATCCGTTGCAGGGTCGCGGGGCGCGGCAGCCGTGGCACTGTCTCCATACCACAGGGAGTGCGCCCAGGGTCGCGGGGCGTGGCAGGCGTGGCATTTTCTCGACAAGGTATGGGGGTGCGCAGAGGGTGTTTTTTGAGCGCGTCCGTTATGCACCAACGTCTTCTAGGGCATAGCAGGCGTGGCACCTTCTCGACACCATAGGGGGTGCGCAGGGGGTGGTTTCTATCCGTCCCAGGGTCGCGGGGCGTGGCAGGCGCGGCACTGCCTTGTCGCCGCAGTGGGCGCGCAGGGAGTGGTCCCCGAGCGCGGTCTCTATCCGCCCGAGGGTCGCGGACCGTTGCAAGCGTGGCATTTTTGACACCGCAGGGGGTGCGCAGAGCGTGGTTCCTGAGCACGGTTTTTCACCATGGGGGGTGCGCAGAAGCTGGTATCGTGGCTAGCTCACGGTGTCAAGTGTTGCAGTCCATCAGTTCCATTGGCAGTGGCTCGCGTACCATCCAGATATGTGACCATTTGGGCTCAATTCAGCTCGGAACGCCACGGTTTCACGCAGGCGCGCCGAGATGCCCGACCGAAGGCTGCAGTTGTATTCATTTTGCACGGCAGCTATGCGAACCCAAGAGCTAACACGAAGTATGTGGGCTTCCTCGGTAGCAAATTTAAAGAATGTGCGCAGTGATACGGCGAGAACTACACTTTTAAAACGACCCTCGTCAATCCGTGCAACTCTGGCGATTTGTTCACGGATGTGCGCAGTTTAAAGGCGAGAGCCATAGTTTGAAAACCACGCGCCCTCGATCTGTGAAACTGTTGTCCGTTTTCCATCAAGTTTAAGGTTCACAAGTGGTGGGGAAGTCTGAGCCGACACGCCCGGTTTCCCCGTTCGACTGGCCTCGGGGTGCCATAGGGGGGGGGGAGTTATTTATAAGGCAAAGGACTAGAGGACGGGAAAAAGGCATATTCAGAGGAATGAGGTAACATGTGACACCAGATGCCCCGAGGTTTCAGGAGTTCGTAACCGGTCACCCCCTGATCGTCACTAAATGCAGGTTTTGCGGCGACGGTGTGAGCAACACCTAGAAGGCCGTACATGTGACACCTCGGCCGTCTTGAAACGGTCTTGGGCTATTGTGCGGCCTCTCGTGCCTCGCGGGACGGAGGTGCCCCGAGCAGCCTGCGACACATCTTTGTATCTGGTGCGTCACATTCCCCTGTTTGGGGCTTGCCTAAGAGGCTCCTATCTGTTAGTGACAGAAGCCGGTGGGTGCGGGGTCCTTCGCCCCCAGCGTTCCTTGGCGTTGTTCTTAAGCCTTGCTTGGCAATGCTGGCCCCTGGCGTTGCTCGGGGTCTCTCGGCGTTGCCAGGCAGTGCCAAGCAGTACCAAGTAATGCCAGGCAGTGCCAAGCATTGCCTAGCAAGGCCATGCAACTCCAGGCAACGCCAAGCAATGCCGAGCAGTGCCAAAAGCAATGCCAGGCATCGGTAAGCAGCGCCAAGCAATGCCAAGACAGTGCTAAGCAATGCCGAAGACTGCCAACCAATGCCAAGCAATTCCGAGCAACGCCGAGCAATGCCGAGCAACGCCGAGCAATGCCAGGCAATGCCAAGCAACGCCAAGAATCGTTAAGCCATGCCACGCAATGTCGAGCAATGCCGAGCAAAGCCAGGCAACGCTTGACAATGCCAAGCAGTGCCAAGCAGCGCCAACCAAGCAATGACGAGCAATGCCAAGCAATGCATTTCTTTGCATTGCTCAGAGCTGCTTTGCATCGCTTCGGAAGAAAGATGACCCATAGTTGGGTTCATGCGGTAATTTCCGATCCAGGGCCCAGAGGCCTGATTCCCGTATCAGCTCTCTTCTGCAGATTCTACATGGTTGCGAGAGGTGATATGTTTAATCACCCTGCCCGAAGGCGTCAAGCTCCACATGTATAGTTTTTGGTATCCGTAGCTTTGGCTCAAGTCTGTTCAAGCGGGAAGCTGTTCACGATATCTCTAGCTCGGCCCCGCACGACCTGCTGCCACGCTGCACAGTTGGCCATGCCGCGCGCCTCAGCCCTGATCTTCGCTTCCCTCGGCGCCGCCTCGGCCGCGGGTGTGGCGCCAGTCTGCGCGCGGGACTCAGCGCTGCTCCAGGCCAGGGCAACGGTGAGCCACAGCCCGCACGAGGGCGACGTCAGGGTCGAGCGCCAGCTGGTGGGCTGCTTCCCCCGTGCCGCTGGAGACACGGACGACCAGCAAAATTTCCAGGACACGTCGTGCGTGAGCGCGGCGAGTCGCAACAGTTCGCTGGAGCCTTGCCGCAGCGGGATGCCTTTCTTCCGGCTCCCCATGCAGAAGCAGCAGTCTGCCTCGGATTGCTTCATGTTCTGTCTCTCCAAGGGCCTGGACCTCTCGGGTCTAATGCACAGCGAGCGCGCCGGGCTCTCCGAGTGCCGGTGTGGCGCCACGAGGGCCAACAGGGCGGCTTGGCACGAGTTGACGCCGCCTCCTGGGCTGCTCTTGCCGAACGGCTCCGCCGATCCAGAGGACAACGAGCACTGCAAGATGCCGGTGTGGCAGTACACGGGGCCTTTGGAGGACGGGGGAGTGCCGACGGTGCTCACAGAGCTGAGCGAGGGCGACGAGGCGTACATCGACGGGATTGCAGTGGGCGTGGACCCTCATGAGATCACGGAGGAGGACGGGGCCGGCGAAGGGACCCCGACGGTGCACCCGGACACGTTGTCCAATTTGTCACTCCTCGGTGCCAAAGGGTTGTGTGAGGATCACACCGAGACGGGCGTCGGGAACAACATGCCTTGCTCCCAGGCCAAGACATGGTGCAACGCTGCAGGCGCTCTTGGCTTGGCCGTGCGCGGCGCCTGCCCCTTCAGCTGCGGCCTCTGCACCCAAGCCTACGGCTGGATGCCGTGCTACCCCAACCCTTGCAGCCCCGGGGGCGGGCCTTGGACGACCAAGGTCGGCAACGTGGTCTACATCAACTACTACTTCGACAACCTCGACGCGGACAGACAAGCGGCGTTCAACAAGGCCAAGGACGAGTGGGAGTCCAAGACGTGCGTGAGGTTCACATACAGCTCCGCCACCCCGCGCATGAGGATCACGGTTACCAACCAGGCAACGTGTTCCGCCTTCGTGGGGTTCCCTGGCGCGGACGGGACTCTTGACGTGAACCTCGGATGGTGCAACAGTGTGGAACATTGGGGCAACATTGCCCACGAGCTTGGCCACGCGCTGGGCATGAACCACGAGCAGAACCGGCCCGACGGCCCAGGCCAGACCAACACCCCAGCGGGTTGGAAGGGCCCCCACCTGCGAGTGAAGTGGCAAAACATCGATACGGTCTGGAGGCCCCAGTGGGAGGGCCAGAAGCGCAGCTACTATGGCTCCCAGACCGCTGGCTACGCGCCGTACGACTACGGATCGATCATGCACTACGGCTTGGGGGACAACGCCGACGCCACCAATTCTGCCTGGCAGAGCGTTCCAGGGCAGAGAGATGGGCTTTCCTCTGGCGACATCGCCCAGTTCCAGGACATGTACCAGTGCGGCTCGGCTGCGCCTGCGCCTGCGCCTGCGCCAGCGCCGACCCCTCCCCCGCCGACCCCCGGACCTGCGCCCGCCGGGTGCGTGGACAGCACCGAGAACCCCTGGGGCCAGTCCTGCGCCGCGTGGCTGGCGCAGGGCGCGTGCGCAGTGTCGAATGGCATCCGGCAGCACTGCAAGGTGAGCTGCCAGCAGTGCGTTTCGGAGACCCCAGCTCCGACCCCCGGGCCTGCGCCCGCTGGGTGCGTAGACAGCACCGAGAACCCCTGGGGCCAGTCCTGCGCCTCGTGGCTGGCGCAGGGCGCGTGCGCAGTGTCGAATGGCATCCGACAGCACTGCAAGGTGAGCTGCCAGCAGTGCAATCAGGCGCCGACCCCCGCTCCGGCAGGCGGTGCTGGCTGCACCGACAGGCAGGGGGAGTTGTCGTATGGGTATACCTGCCCCCAGTGGGCGCTGGCGAGCCACTGCGCTGGGTCGCAGACGATTCAGGCGGATTGTCCTGGGAGCTGCGCAGAGGTCGAAAAGGTCACCTACGGGTACACGTGCGCCCAGTGGCATGGGTGGGGGCACTGCGCCAACTCGGAGACGTTGAAGGCCGAGTGCCCCCACATCTGCGGGCAGTGCCGCTAGATCCAGCCGAGGGGATGACGAGTTCGACTGAGCCGTCAGCAGTGCACGCCCAGCCCTCCTGCCCCCGCGCCCGGCGCCGGCGGCTACACCGACAGGCAGGGGCGGACCCACGGGCAGACCTGCGACTGAGCGAACATTCGGGTTCCGCGCGCTGCGAAGGGTTGTCAGGGCTCAGCAGGGGCCTCCACCCGAAGGTTGGCGGGGTCGAGCTTTGGAGGCGACTCTGCACAAACGCTGCCAGTCGCCTCCTGCACGCCCGAATTCGTGATCCGGCCGGGGCACAAAGACCTCGGGCCTAGTTAGTCTTCCTGCCAGGACAGCAATCGTATCCTTTGCGCTCTATGAGCCCCCCCCCCGGCCGAGCCATCTTGTGGCTATATTTGGACAGCTGTGGGGTTCTCTTGGGCCCTTTTTCGGGGGGCATTTTGGCGCCTCTCAGGCCACCTTTGGGACACCGATGTTGGGCTGTCTTGGTGTCTCTGTGGCCCGTCGCTGGGGCCTCTTGAGAGCATCTTGGGGCCATCTGGGGGCCTTTTTGGGCCATCCAGGGCGATCTTGGCCGCACCCTTTGAGTCATATTGGGGTCACCGCACGGCCGTCTTGGGCAATCTCGCCAGGAGCGCGATACTGGACATGAAGAACTCAGGAGTGAAAAATGGACGACAACGTACATGAGCTTACGTCGGTTTCCAGAGCACTTATTGCGCGAACGTTCGTTTCCCGCGGCCGGTTTCGCGAATAGGGCGGCCGTGTTCATGTGCGTGGGTGGGCGCGTATGTCGTTTGTCGGCTTTTTAAACACATATGGAGTATTTGATTGTTTCACTATTTTGGCTCTCTCGGTGGCGTCTTGGGGCCCTCCTGGACCATCTGAGAATCATCTTGGGGCTATCTATCTTCGGCCATCTTTGGATCTCTCTTCGGGACCTCGTGGGGCAGTCTCCGAGGCCTGTGCTCTCTTGGCCGTCTGGTTACGTCCCTTCAGGAGTCATGGGGTAGCCTGGAGAAGCTTTGATTATATATCCACAGTGTGTCATGGAGACAGGACTGGAGAGACAAACAACAACAACAAAAGACGTCCAACAGAGAATAAGACAGTAGTCCAGCAGCAGCTTCACAGCCTTGAGAACGCCCCCAAGGGGGCTGTCGGTGTTTTTTGTTGCGCTATTGCGGACGTGCAAGCCTGGGAGCGAGACCGTGAGCGTAAGCGGTGTGCCAGGCAGCAGGCATCGATACACAGCTTTGCCACCAGCCCCGCTTTTACAGCATAGGGCAAGCGGGCGAGGCACGTCCGAAAGTGACGTGCCGGAGACGCTGCCGTCAACCTCACAGGCCGTAATTTGGGACACCCCATGGGTACCCTCGCCACAAAACAAGATGCGCGATCGTGCCAAATTGCAGAGGGCTCAACTGCGCAGGGTGCACACATACAGAGTGAATATGCAAAACAGATGCGGCTTGTACGCGGCAGTACGCCTGGCTGGGTAGAGTTCTGTCTGTCTGGTTTCCCTGTCCAAGTATGATGCACCCGCGGTTCGGTTCTTTAATTGAATACCCCTGAGGGGGCAGACACTGCCGCCCCAGCAGTTTTGGATCGTGGAACTCGTGGGATGGGGGGGCCAAGACGGCGCCCGTTGAGTAGAAACCATGACAGTTGCCTCTTGGAGCCCTCGTGGGGCTCTTTGGAGAGGGTATTGGAGTCCTCTTCGGGCTCTATTGGGGTGTCTCGGGGCCCTGCCAAGCAATGCCAAGCAGCGCCAACCAAGCAATGCCGAGCAATGACGAGCAATGCCAGGCAAGGCATTTCTTTGCATTGCTCAGAGCTGCTTTGAATCGCTTCGGAAGAAAGAAGACCCCTAGTTGGGTTCATGCGGTAATTTCCGATCCAGGGCCCAGAGGCCTGATTCCCGTATCAGTTCTCTTCTGCAGGTTCCTCATGGTTGCGAGAGGTGATATTTTTAATCACCCTGCCCGAAGGCGTCAAGCTCCACATGTATAGTTTTTGGTATCCGTAGCTTTGGCTCAAGTCGGTTCAAGCGGGAAGCTGTTCACGATATCTCTAGCTCGGCCCCGCACGACCTGCTGCCACGCTGCACAGTTGGCTATGCCGCGCGCCTCAGCCCTGATCTTCGCTTCCCTCGGCGCCGCCTCGGCCGCGGGTGTGGCGCCAGTCTGCGCGCGGGACTCAGCGCTGCTCCAGGCCAGGGCAACGGTGAGCCACAGCCCGCACGAGGGCCACGTCAGAGTCGAGCGCCAGCTGGTGGGCTGCTTCCCCCGTGCCGCTGGAGACACGGACGACCAGCAAAATTTCCAGGACACGTCGTGCGTGAGCGCGGCGAGTCGCAACAGCTCGCTGGAGCCTTGCCGCAGCGGGATGCCTTTCTTCCGGCTCCCCATGCAGAAGCAGCAGTCTGCCGCGGATTGCTTCATGTTCTGTCTCTCCAAGGGCCTGGACCTCTCGGGTCTAATGCACAGCGAGCGCGCCGGGCTCTCCGAGTGCCGGTGTGGCGCCACGAGGGCCAACAGGGCGGCTTGGCACGAGTTGACGCCGCCTCCTGGGCTGCTCTTGCCGAACGGCTCCGCCGATCCAGAGGACAACGAGCACTGCAAGATGCCGGTGTGGCAGTACACGGGGCCTTTGGAGGACGGGGGAGTGCCGACGGTGCTCACAGAGCTGAGCGAGGGCGACGAGGCGTACATCGACGGGATTGCAGTGGGCGTGGACCCTCATGAGATCACGGAGGAGGACGGGGCCGGCGAAGGGACCCCGACGGTGCACCCGGACACGTTGTCCAATTTGTCACTCCTCGGTGCCAAAGGGTTGTGTGAGGATCACACCGAGACGGGCGTCGGGAACAACATGCCTTGCTCCCAGGCCAAGACATGGTGCAACGCTGCAGGCGCTCTTGGCTTGGCCGTGCGCGGCGCCTGCCCCTTCAGCTGCGGCCTCTGCACCCAAGCCTACGGCTGGATGCCGTGCTACCCCAACCCTTGCAGCCCCGGGGGCGGGCCTTGGACGACCAAGGTCGGCAACGTGGTCTACATCAACTACTACTTCGACAACCTCGACGCGGACAGACAAGCGGCGTTCAACAAGGCCAAGGACGAGTGGGAGTCCAAGACGTGCGTGAGGTTCACATACAGCTCCGCCACCCCGCGCATGAGGATCACGGTCACCAACCAGGCAACGTGTTCCGCCTTCGTGGGGTTCCCTGGCTCGGACGGGACTCTTGACGTGAACCTCGGATGGTGCAACAGTGTGGAACATTGGGGCAACATTGCCCACGAGCTTGGCCACGCGCTGGGCATGAACCACGAGCAGAACCGGCCCGACGGCCCAGGCCAGACCAACACCCCGGCGGGTTGGAAGGGCCCCCACTTGCGAGTGAAATGGCAAAACATCGATACGGTCTGGAGGCCCCAGTGGGAGGGCCAGAAGCGCAGCTACTATGGCTCCCAGACCGCTGGCTACGCGCCGTACGACTACGGATCGATCATGCACTACGGCTTGGGGGACAACGCCGACGCCACCAATTCTGCCTGGCAGAGCGTTCCAGGGCAGAGAGATGGGCTTTCCGCTGGCGACATCGCCCAGTTCCAGGACATGTACCAGTGCGGCTCGGCTGCGCCTGCGCCTGCGCCTGCGCCAGCGCCGACCCCTCCCCCGCCGACCCCCGGGCCTGCGCCCGCCGGGTGCGTGGACAGCACCGAGAACCCCTGGGGCCAGTCCTGCGCCGCGTGGCTGGCGCAGGGCGCGTGCGCTGTGTCGAATGGCATCCGGCAGCACTGCAAGGTGAGCTGCCAGCAGTGCGTTTCGGAGACCTCCGCTCCGACCCCTGGGCCTGCGCCCGCCGGGTGCGTGGACAGCACCGAGAACCCCTGGGGCCAGTCCTGCGCCGCGTGGCTGGCGCAGGGCGCGTGCGCTGTGTCGAATGGCATCCGACAGCACTGCAAGGTGAGCTGCCAGCAGTGCAATCAGGCGCCGACCCCCGCTCCGGCAGGTGGTGCTGGCTGCACCGACAGGCAGGGGGAGTTGTCGTATGGGTATACCTGCCCCCAGTGGGCGCTGGCGAGCCACTGCGCTGGGTCGCAGACGATTCAGGCGGATTGTCCTGGGAGCTGCGCAGAGGTCGAAAAGGTCACCTACGGGTACACGTGCGCCCAGTGGCATGGGTGGGGGCACTGCGCCAACTCGGAGACGTTGAAGGCCGAGTGCCCCCACATCTGCGGGCAGTGCCGCTAGATCCAGCCGAGGGGATGACGAGTTCGACTGTGCCGTCAGCAGTGCACGCCCCGCCCTCCTGCCCCCGCGCCAGGCGCCGGCGGCTACAACGACAGGCAGGGGCGGACCCACGGGCAGACCTGCGACTGAGCGAGCATTCCGGTTCCGCGCGCTGCGAAGGGTTGCCACGGCTCAGCAGGGGCCTCCACCCGAAGGTTGGCGGGGTCGAGCCTCGGAGGCGACTCTGCACAAACGCTGCCAGTCGCCTCCTGCACGCCCGAATTCGTGATCCGGCCGGGGCACAAAGACCTCGGGCCGCCTAGTTAGTCTTCCTGCCAGGACAGCAATCGTATCCTTTGCGCTCCATGAGCCCCTCCCCCAGGCCGAGCCATCTTGTGGCTATATTTGGACAGCTGTGGGGTTCTCTTGGGCCCTTTTTGGGGGCATCTTGGCGCCTCTCAGGCCACCTTTGGGACACCGATGTTGGGCTGTCTTGGTGTCTCTGTGGCCCGTCGCTGGGGCCTCTTGAGAGCATCTTGGGGCCATCTGGGGGCCTTTTTGGGCCATCCAGGGCGATCTTGGCCGCACCCTTTGAGTCATTTTGGGGTCACCGCACGGCCGTCTTGGGCAATCTCGCCAGGAGCGCGATACGGGACATGAAGAACTCAGGAGCGAAAAATGGATGACAACGTACATGAACTTACGTCAGTTTCCAGAGCACTTATTGCGCGAACGTTTGTTTCCCGCGGCCGGTTTCGCGAATTGGGGGGCTGTGTTCATGTGCGTGGGTGGGCGCGTACGTCGTTCGTGGGCTTCTTAAACACATAGAGTATTTGATTGCTTGTCACTATTTTGGCTCTCTCGGTGGCGTCTTGGGGCCCTCCTGGACCATCTGAGAATCATCTTGGGGCTATCTATCTTCGGCCATCTTGGGATGTCTCTTCGGGACCTCGTGGGGCAGTCTTCGAGGCCTGTGCTCTCTTGGCCGTCTGGTCACGTCCCCACAGGAGTCATGGGGTAGCCGGGAGAAGCTTTTCTTCTATATCCACAGTGTGTCATGGAGACAGGACTGGAGAGACAAACGACAACAACAAAAGACGTCCAACAGAGAGTAAGACAGTAGTCCAGCAGCAGCTTCACAGCCTTGAGTACGCCCCCAGGGGGGCTGTCGGGCTTTTTGTTTCGCTATTGCGGACGTACAAACCTGGGAGCGAGACCGTGAGCGTAAGCGGTGTGCCAGGCAGCAGGCATCGATACACAGCTTTGCCACCAGCCCCGCTTTACAGCACAGGGCAAGCGGGCGAGGCACGTCCGAAAGTGACGTGCCGGAGACGCTGCCGTCAACCTCACAGGCCGTAATTTGGGACACCCCATGGGTACCCTCGCCACAAACCAAGATGCGCGATCGTGTCAATCTGCAGAGGGCTCAACTGCGCAGGGTGCACACATACAGAGTGAATATGCAAAACAGATGCGGCTTGTACGCGGCAGTACGCCTGGCTGGGTAGAGTTGTGTCTGTCTGGTTTCCCGGTCCACTTATGATGCACCCGCGGTTCGATTCTTTAATTGAATACCCCTGAGGGGGCAGACACTGCCGCCCCAGCAGTTTTGGATCGTGGAACTCGTGGGATGGGGGGGCCAAGACGGGGCCCTTTGAGTAGAAACCATGACAGTTGCCTCTTGGAGCCCTCGTGGGGCTCTTTGGAGAGGGTATTGGAGTCCTCTTCGGGCTCTATTGGGGTGTCTCGGGGCCCTGCCAAGCAATGCCAAGCAGCGCCAACCAAGCAATGCCGAGCAATGACGAGCAATGCCAAGCAATGCATGTCTATGTATTGCTCAGAGCTGCTTCGAATCGCTTCGGAAGAAAGAAGACCCCTAGTTGTGTTCATGCGGTAATTTCCGATCCAGGGCCCAGAGGCCTGATTCCCGTATCAGCTCTCTTCTGCAGGTTCTACATGGTTGCGAGAGGTGATATTTTTAATCACCCTGCCCGAACTCGACAAGCGTCGCATGTATAGTTTTTAGTATCCGTAGCTTTGGCTCAAGTCTGTTCAAGCGAGAAGCTGTTCACGACGTTCTTGGCTCGGCCCCGCACGACCTGCTGCCACGCTGCACAGTTGGCTATGCCGCGCGCCTCAGCCCTGATCTTCGCTTCCCTCGGCGCCGCCTCGGCCGCGGGTGTGGCGCCAGTCTGCGCGCGGGACTCAGCGCTGCTCCAGGCCAGGGCAACGGTGAGCCACAGCCCGCACGAGGGCCACGTCAGAGTCGAGCGCCAGCTGGTGGGCTGCTTCCCCCGTGCCGCTGGAGACACGGACGACCAGCAAAATTTCCAGGACACGTCGTGCGTGAGCGCGGCGAGTCGCAACAGCTCGCTGGAGCCTTGCCGCAGCGGGATGCCTTTCTTCCGGCTCCCCATGCAGAAGCAGCAGTCTGCCGCGGATTGCTTCATGTTCTGTCTCTCCAAGGGCCTGGACCTCTCGGGTCTAATGCACAGCGAGCGCGCCGGGCTCTCCGAGTGCCGGTGTGGCGCCACGAGGGCCAACAGGGCGGCTTGGCACGAGTTGACGCCGCCTCCTGGGCTGCTCTTGCCGAACGGCTCCGCCGATCCAGAGGACAACGAGCACTGCAAGATGCCGGTGTGGCAGTACACGGGGCCTCTGGAGGACGGGGGAGTGCCGACGGTGCTCACAGAGCTGAGCGAGGGCGACGAGGCGTACATCGACGGGATTGCAGTGGGCGAGGACCCTCATGAGATCACGGAGGAGGACGGGGCCGGCGAAGGGACCCCGACGGTGCACCCGGACACGTTGTCCAATTTGTCACTCCTCGGTGCCAAAGGGTTGTGTGAGGATCACACCGAGACGGGCGTCGGGAACAACATGCCTTGCTCCCAGGCCAAGACATGGTGCAACGCAGCAGGCGCTCTTGGCTTGGCCGTGCGCGGCGCCTGCCCCTTCAGCTGCGGCCTCTGCACCCAAGCCTACGGCTGGATGCCGTGCTACCCCAACCCTTGCAGCCCCGGGGGCGGGCCTTGGACGACCAAGGTCGGCAACGTGGTCTACATCAACTACTACTTCGACAACCTCGACGCGGACAGACAAGCGGCGTTCAACAAGGCCAAGGACGAGTGGGAGTCCAAGACGTGCGTGAGGTTCACATACAGCTCCGCCACCCCGCGCATGAGGATCACGGTCACCAACCAGGCAACGTGTTCCGCCTTCGTGGGGTTCCCTGGCTCGGACGGGACTCTTGACGTGAACCTCGGATGGTGCAACAGTGTGGAACATTGGGGCAACATTGCCCACGAGCTTGGCCACGCGCTGGGCATGAACCACGAGCAGAACCGGCCCGACGGCCCAGGCCAGACCAACACCCCGGCGGGTTGGAAGGGCCCCCACTTGCGAGTGAAGTGGCAAAACATCGATACGGTTTGGAGGCCCCAGTGGGAGGGCCAGAAGCGCAGCTACTATGGCTCCCAGACCGCTGGCTACGCGCCGTACGACTACGGATCGATCATGCACTACGGCTTGGGAGACAACGCCGACGCGACCAATTCTGCCTGGCAGAGCGTTCCAGGGCAGAGAGATGGGCTTTCCGCTGGCGACATCGCCCAGTTCCAGGACATGTACCAGTGCGGCTCGGCTGCGCCTGCGCCTGCGCCTGCGCCAGCGCCGACCCCTCCCCCGCCGACCCCAGGACCTGCGCCCGCCGGGTGCGTGGACAGCACCGAGAACCCCTGGGGCCAGTCCTGCGCCGCGTGGCTGGCGCAGGGCGCGTGCGCAGTGTCGAATGGCATCCGGCAGCACTGCAAGGTGAGCTGTCAGCAGTGCGTTTCGGAGACCCCAGCTCCGACCCCCGGGCCTGCGCCCGCCGGGTGCGTAGACAGCACCGAGAACCCCTGGGGCCAGTCCTGCGCCGCGTGGCTGGCGCAGGGCGCGTGCGCAGTGTCGAATGGCATCCGACAGCACTGCAAGGTGAGCTGCCAGCAGTGCAATCAGGCGCCGACCCCCGCTCCGGCAGGTGGTGCTGGCTGCACCGACAGGCAGGGGGAGTTGTCGTATGGGTATACCTGCCCCCAGTGGGCGCTGGCGAGCCACTGCGCTGGGTCGCAGACGATTCAGGCGGATTGTCCTGGGAGCTGCGCAGAGGTCGAAAAGGTCACCTACGGGTACACGTGCGCCCAGTGGCATGGGTGGGGGCACTGCGCCAACTCGGAGACGTTGAAGGCCGAGTGCCCCCACATCTGCGGGCAGTGCCGCTAGATCCAGCCGAGGGGATGACGAGTTCGACTGTGCCGTCAACAGTGCACGCCCCGCCCTCCTGCCCCCGCGCCAGGCGCCGGCGGCTACAACGACAGGCAGGGGCGGACCCACGGGCAGACCTGCGACTGAGCGAGCATTCCGGTTCCGCGCGCTGCGAAGGGTTGCCACGGCTCAGCAGGGGCCTCCACCCGAAGGTTGGCGGGGTCGAGCCTCGGAGGCGACTCTGCACAAACGCTGCCAGTCGCCTCCTGCACGCCCGAATTCGTAATCCGGCCGGGGCACAAAGACCTCGGGCCGCCTAGTTAGTCTTCCTGCCAGGACAGCAATCGTATCCTTTGCGCTCCATGAGCCCCTCCCCCAGGCCGAGCCATCTTGTGGCTATATTTGGACAGCTGTGGGGTTCTCTTGGGCCCTTTTTCGGGGGCATCTTGGCGCCTCTCAGGCCACCTTTGGGACACCGATGTTGGGCTGTCTTGGTGTCTCTGTGGCCCGTCGCTGGGGCCTCTTGAGAGCATCTTGGGGCCATCTGGGGGCCTTTTTGGGCCATCCAGGGCGATCTTGGCCGCACCCTTTGAGTCATTTTGGGGTCACCGCACGGCCGTCTTGGGCAATCTCGCCAGGAGCGCGATACGGGACATGAAGAACTCAGGAGCGAAAAATGGGCGTAACCGCTTGCCCCGGATATTAAATCATACCTCCCCCCTTTTTATGACTGAGAGTTTTTTGGACACCCGGCCAATGCAGATCTGGTCGGAGAAGAGGGGCGGCAAGGCCGAGCTTGATTGTCGCAGGGGAATGTTGCGAATCGAAGTTGCCATCTTCTCTTGTTGAATAGCAAGGATTCCTATGAATATCCTAAGGGATCTCAAGGATGTCCTCAGAAATCCTCTGGATATCCTAAGGCATCCTACGGTTTCCCGAGAATCCCCAAGGATTTCCTAAGTGAACTTGTGGATTTCCTAAGGAGTCCTGAAGATTTCCTTCGGAATCCTATGAATGTCCTAGGACATCTCAAGGATGTCCTAAGGATTCTGATGGAGCGTTCAGGATCATTTTTATCGTCATCGTCATCGTCATTATCTTCATCATTATGCTGCGACCTCCTGGAAAACATGTATTCTCCCCCCTGGACCCCGAAGTTTATTATCCCTAAGGGATTAATATGAGGAGCACACGGCTACACGTACATGGATCCACTTTGGTGTCCAGAACACGCATTGCGCGAACGTTCGTATCACGAGGCTGGTCTCGCGGATCGGGGGACCGTGTTCATGTACGTGGGTGGGTGCGTACGTCCTTCGTGGGTTTCCTGAGAACACAAGGAGTATTTGATTGCTCGTCACCATGTTGGCTCTCTCGGAGGCGTCTTGGGGTCCTCCTGGACCATCTGGGAATCATCTTGGGACAATCTATCTTCGGCCGTCTTGGGCTCTCGAGGCCCTCTTCGGGTCCTCGTGGGGCAGTCTTCGAGGCCTGTGCTCTCGTGGCCGTCTGGCTGCGTGCCCGTAGGATTCATGGGATAGCCTGGAGAAAGCTGTTTGCTGTTTCTATAGCCGCAGTGTGTCATGGAGGCAGGACCGCAGAGACAAACGACAACATTCAGTTTAAGACTCTTCGCCCTTATATGCTCGAGTGTTCAATAACGCGTATTTCTCAAAGCCTCGATACCCGCCCTCTTCGTCTTCGATCGAACCCCTTTGGGGGGTTACACCTTCTTCAACAGCAAATCAACAAAGCACGACCCATAGGAAATAAGACGGCAGTCCAGCAGCAGCTTCACAGCCTTCAGTGCGCCCCCAAGGGGGCTGGCGCATTTGCTGCTGCACCACCGCGGACGCACAAGCTTGGGAGGACCGAGGCCGCGAGCGCAAGCGGTATGCCGGGCAGCAGGCATCGACACACATGCTTGCCACCAACTCCGCTGTTGCTGCACAGAGCAAGCGGGTGGGGCACGGCCGGAAGTGACGTGCGGGAGCCGCTGTCGCCAAGTTCACGAGCCGTAGTTTGAGACACCCCGTGGGTGCCTTCGCCACAGAAAACTGCGCGATCGTGTCAGACTGCAGAGGGCTCATCTGCGCAAGAGGCACACATACAGTGAACAGGCAGAACACATGCGGCTTGTTCGCGGCAGTACGCCTGGTTAGATAGAGGTCTCTCTGTCTGGTTCTCCGGTCCCCTGATGATGTATCCGTGGTGCGATTCTTCAATCGAACGCCCCTGCGGCGGCACACACCGCCGCCCCACAATTTATGGATCGTGGCATAAGGAAAACATGATCGGGGAATTCGTGGGATGGGGGGGGCCACGACGGCGCCCCCCCTCGTGGGGCTCTTTGGAGAGGGTATTGGGGTCCTCTTCGGTCTCTATTGTGGGGCGCCTCGGGGCCCTCTTTGGGGCCCTCTTGGGGGTCTCTTGGGGCCGTCGTGGGGGTTCTGAGGGGGCCTCTTGGGGCTATGTTGCAGAGCATCTGTCGCATGAAGGATGCAGTCCACGTAAGTTCTCGGCTCGTGGAGGGGAACCCCAGGGCCCTCTGGAGGCGCCCCGGACGGCCGAACAGCGCGCTAAGAAGGCGCCCGGACGGCCGAGGGGGGGCCACGAGAGGCTGTGATGAAGGCCGCAGAGAGCACCCGCACGTTCCAAGGTAGCCGCAGGAGCCCGCGGATATGTGCGGGAGTTCGAAGAGAGGCGCAAGGAGAAGCGCAAGAGGGCCAGACTCGTCATAGTCCCATTTTGAATCCCATGGGTTTTACACCATGCTGTTTTTTTGTCAGGGATTTGTTCTCGATGTGTGTGCCTCGAGCATCTAGGTGGAGAGGCATCCGAGACGTCCCCAGGTGGACCGAAGGGTTGTCTAGATCAGCCCAGAGAGGGCCCCGAGGGGTCCCCCCAAAGCTGGCCCAGTCATGAGGTTCCCGGAGGGATCTCTGTGAGGGCCCGCTGGCACCCGGAGGCCCACAGCACGTGCAAGGGGGCGGACCTTTCAGGAGTGGTTGCCAGAGGACGCCTCGGCCGCAGCCCGGGCCCTCGGGTCGGCGGAATGAGCGGGCCGCGGGGAGGACCCCGGGAGGGACTGTGAGGGCGCAGAGAAAGTTCTGGAGTCCGAAACGGTGCGGTGACAGATCGTGCGGTGACCTCGAAATCCCCCAAGACCTCACCGCACGTTCCGTCACCGCACGGCCTTGGGAACTCGGAGGCCCCAGTTGCCCGAGACACCTTTCGGAGAGGGACCCGAGTCCCAAAACCGTGCGGTGATCCCGAATCCCCACCGACTCGCCGCACGGTGTGGTCGCCGCCCCGTTTGGGGACCCCCTGGTAGGTATGAAAAGCGCGCAGGCGAGAGGAGTTGCAGCAAGCATTGCCTGCAGACCACGCGGTGGGTCTCGCACGGCGGATCGCTTCGTGCATTCCGCCGGCCCAGATTTCAGGAGGAGAAAAATCACACAGACACAATGAATCGTCGAGCCCCCAGAAAAATTTGAAAATTTGAGCAGTGGGGGGGAAGACAGAAACCCAGAAAATATAAAAAATATGGGGGATCCTTGTATCTGTGTGAATTTATTTGTGTGTCCCAGGGCCCCTTCAAGATTGCACCGCTGTTGCTATGAGTTGGTGTGCCCATGGCGGGCGAGAAGTAGGACAGGGGACTCGATCGGTGGGAGGAAGGCAAGGCCTCTCGACGGCTTCATGGGGCACTGGGGACCAAACTGTGTCGCGGACAAGACGCCTCTTTGGAAGGCTTCTTGGGTCTCTCGGGAGGCCTCTCGGGACTCGTTGGGCGGATTTTCGGGTTCATGGGGCCCTGTGGGGCATCCTTTTGGGCTTTTGGGGGCCTTTGAGGGCTTCTTGAGGGCCTGCTGGCGGCCTGGGGGGCGAATCTTCGGAGAAGTCTCGATATGTTTGTTCGGCTTCCCCCTCTTGGGGCCCTCATGATAGCCTCTGGATCCCTATGGGGAGTCCTCTGTGGCCGTCTTGGTGCCCTTTTTTGTCCTGGGTGCCTCTTTGGCAGACTTTGGGCGATCTTGGAAGCCTGTTGGTCCGTTCTGGGCGGTCGGAATCTGGTTTTGGAGGTACCGCCAACACTTAGGGTCGTGTTGGAGCCCTCCTGCCGATCCGAGGAGTCTTGGGTGAGGGGAGCCTGCCCTCAGACGTGTGTGCGCGCACGTGCTGGCCGAAACCATTTCGGCCCGGTTTCAGGAGAGAACAGGCGCGCGGGGGCGCGCCTCGCGGGGAATTTGTATTGGTAGCACGGAGCTGTGGTGTCCTTTGACAGGGGTGAAGGACAGTGACGCCGCGGTCGGCGTTTGAGCGAAGGTCGAGAGTTTCGACGAGTGTGTTTGTGGTGACGAATATCTACGGCAGGATGGTGAACAATGGGCCCAACTCTTCGGGGGCAGTTCGATGTTTTGTTCTGGTGTTGGCCCAGAGGCGAGCAAGGAGTATCGTGCGTGGCGAGAGTGGGCGCGAGCATATCTCATTGCGCAGAAGGCACTTGGTGCGCCAGCGGCAGCAGCGGGCCCTCTTTTGTTCATTGTGCCGGACGACGTGGCGGCCCGTGCGGTCGAGACGTTGGACGTAGACGACTTCGAGGTCGAAGGCGGAGACCATCTCATGTTCATTGTGTGGGAAGAGAGGTTCCCGGACTTAGCGGCCCATGACCGTTTGGTTGAGTTGCTCGCTGAGATTTTCAGCCTGAAGATTACTCGAGGTCGGACACTGGCTCAGTTCTGTGGTCGTGCGCGAGCTGCCTACGCTCGCGGCGATGCCGACAGTGTGTCACTCTCGTCGATGGCCAACGGGTTTCTTCCCTTGATGGGTGCGCAGCTGCCGTCTCAGAATCTGGCTGTGGTTTTAGCGGCGTCGCAGAAGTCATACCTGGAAGCTGAAGTTGCACATGCCCTGAGAACCACGTTTCAAAATGCGATGGCAGACTATGTGTCGCATCGACAAGATCGGCATGTGAGCGTGAACGAGGTGGTTGAGAGATCGGCAGACGATGACTTCAGGGATGAGGAGATCGACGCCCTGATCGCTGCTGAGCCGGCGCCCCCGGATGAGGCGTCCAGCGAGTCCGGCGCGATTTAAGTATTAGTGACTTGGCAGGAGCAGAGGATTAATATTACCAAACAGCAATTATGGCGAGGTCTTGGACCAAAGACACCAGATCTTTAACTTCTAGCTCGTCGGACAAAGTGCTTCACTGTGTTGAAGTCGGCCATTTCAGTCGGGATTGCAAATTGCCACGCCGTCCCAGACAGTTCCTCAAGCAGCCTTCACGCGTGGCGTTCGTCGAGGAGGTGCCGGGAGAGTCTGTGCCAGTGATGCTGGCCCATGAGGACTGTGACGATGACGTCGAGAATTTGTGCGAGTATTTTCATAAGTTGAATGGCGCGACGGACGAGGTGGACGTGCTGATTTTTCCTACGACGTGGGACACGGTGTCGTGGATACCGGGCGTGGCCGCAGACTTTTTGGAAAGGAGACGCTATCCGAGCATGAGACTGCGATGACAAAGGCCGGGCTCAAGGTAACTCGCCTGGAGCATGGGCCGATGGCGTTCAGATGTGGAAATCAGCAGACACAGCAATCGATTGAACACGTGGAGATCGAGCGCAGGACGGGTGGCAAGGAGCTGAGTTTGAGTATGTTGTCCCAGGCAAGGCACCGTTCTTACTCGGCGAGCCGATGCTGAAGAGCCTCTGCCCAGTCATCGACACCGTCAGCGGCGTGATGATTTTGGAGAGAAGTTAAACGTGGCGATTCCATGATGGGAGGCCAAGGGCGGGCGCCATCAACTCAACCTGTGCGAGCCGCTCACCGCAATATGGGAAATCCAATGTCTGAGTCGTGTCTGGCCGAGGTGAAGGAGGCGCCGGCGGGTTTTCACTAGGGCTGGGCCGGGGCCTTCAGGTCGAAGAGGATCTCATTCCCGATTTCGATGATACATGTGAGTGCTGCAATGCTGGGATCATTAGAATACTGCGCCGTCGCGATATATGTGATCCGAAGAAGTTTCTGGCCAAGTTGTCCGCGCAGCAAGAGTGGATCGGCGCGCAGGGGCCTGGCGCCGACGCCAAGAAGCCACTGGAAAAGAAAAATGCCGCCTCTGTTGAATGCCGTCGCCTGTGTCCTCGGGCTCGCGTGTCCCGCGCTGATGCATGCCAGCTCTGAGCGCGTGGGAACATGACGGGCCGTCCCCCATTCCCCAAGTGAGCGTTCGGGCTTCCACGGGCCGCGCGAGGTCTGCAGGCCGCGCGAACCCAGCCAGCCCCATGAACCAAGGTTCCTTGGGCCGAACGCGCGCCGCAGCGCGCAAAGGCCCAATGCGCCGCGCTGGCCCAGCGAGCCGCGCGGGCACCTTGGGCCCCCCGACTCGTCAGGGCCACATCTGGTTTCTGGGCGTTGGAAACCCCGCGGGCCATGGGGGCTCCGTGGGCCTCGGGGGCGCCATGAGCTGCGCGTGGCGCCTCTGTATCATGGAAGCCCCATGGCTTGCAAATTCGATGAGCAAGCTTCCGTGGCTGCGTTTGGTCGCAGCCCCCGCGGGGGAAGCGCCCCGAACTTTTGCCAGTGGCGTCTTGGTGCTGGCGCAGGCTTTTCGTTCCCGGCAGCGGCAAGACGTCGATGCCAGTCTGGGGGCGCCCACTGGAACGGCGGCCCCATGCGCGGGCTGAGCCCCCCCGACGATTTCGGAAGGTTGCCGCGGGCTGCGGGCCTGGGTAAGGATGGGGGCCGCGGTCTTGCTCCCGGGGCGCGAAGGGCGGCCACCGCCCCCTTTCGCGGGGGGCGGTGGATTCGATTCGGGCCAGACGAGGTCAGGGATGCGGCGCGGGCGGACATGGGGCGGGCGAGGGGGGGGGGGGGGGGATGAGAGGAGGGCGAGCAGGCGGGGGGAGGCGCGGTGGAGGGCGGCGGTGGGGGGGAGTGAAGCTTCAGTCATGGAGGATGCCGCAGCCTTCCCTCTGTTCTCCCTCCTGTCCCGAGAGAGCCCGCTAGTCTCGCTTCTTTATTGCACTTGATATTTCCTGATCTCCCTCCTGCGTGCTGCGCGACGACCCCCCTTCGCCCGCCCTTCTCGCCCACTCTGCGATGCCTCGGGCAAGGGCGAGCCCGCGCTGGTCCAAAGCGCAATTCAAAATTCCGTGAAATCAATACTTTCTCGGCGCTGGCGTCGGCTTTTTGCCCCCCCAGTGGAGCCCCGAATTCTTGGAGTTGCTCTCGACCCCTTTCGGCTGTATCCAATCTGGAAAGGCAAGGTTTACAAACTCTGAGGTCTTTTGATTGGAAGAATGGTTGGGACGCTCGGCTTCCTGGACATCGCGACAAGATTCTGACCCGCATGGGCTCGGAGAATCCAGAGGCTGATGGGATGTCACCTCCGTGTCGGATGTTTTCGGCGCTCCAGAGGTTCGCTCATGCGGACAGCCGTCGAGACCCAGATATGCTACCCTGATCTTCGGGGTGCTCTGGATTTTGTTATTCTCTGTTTCCGAGTTGCTCGCGAAGAGCTGACTTACGGTGGCGATGGAGGCTCTGGCGATGGCTGCGACGCGGGACGCCCCGGGCATTCGACGACTATGTAGCGACCCAGAGGTGCATCGAGTATCTGTGCCGGGATGCCAGGTTAGACTGGTGGATCCAGAGTCGGGCGTACCCCTTCACAAGACGTGGAGTTTTGCGACAAATTGCGGGGCATTGAAGTGGGCGGTGGTGGAGCGAAAGCGTGATAGGAAGCATTCGCAGCAGACGTGCGTCGGGTGCCCAGGCGGGAAGAAGCGCAGTGATGCTGTCGGACGCTCCCCATTTGAGTTGGTGGAGGACTTGGCGGAGGGCTCTCGCACTCAGATAGCAGTGGACGAGGTCAAAGGTGTTGACCAGTTGCTTGCTGCTGGGACTGCGGGGGAGGAATATGTGAAGCGACGTCGTTTGAGTTTCGAAAGCACTTTGCGTCGATTGCACGCCAACTTAGGTCATCCGGGCAACGAGGACCTGATCAGAGGCTCAATCATGCGAGCGCCAGCGAGATGGTGATCATATCCGCCCGGCAGTTTACATGCTCAGTGTGCGATGGCAGGAAGCAGTCGGAGCTTGCGCGTCCGACTGCGCTGCCAACTGCGGTGGCGCCCCTGAGTTTGCTCGGGGTGGATGTGAAGGGGCTTAGAGGATGGTCCCCAATCATGAGAGCACAGTGTGTCAGTGTGGCGCGTGGCTCGAGCTCGCCGCGGATGATGATGGCGTTCTTCGAGGCAGAAGCGGGCGACGTGTTGCGGCGAGCGTTTCGCTCATCCTGGTTTCGACCATGCGGCGCCCCAGAAGTTAGCCGGTTCGATGCAAGCAAGCTGTGGACGACAGCTGATGGACTTATCTCGACAGGCATCGAAGCTCGCGATGCTGCTTGAGAAGCCCACGAGCAAATCGGTCGAGCTGAACATCATGGACATCATTTTGAGGACATGTTCTACATGACGATAGGTCAGCGCTGTCCCGACACCAAGGAGAGGTGGCTGGCGTGCCCCCATGCAGCAGCGGTGGCTAAACATTCCCTCATGAGGAAGCATGCTCACTCTGTATATAATATTGCGATTGGTTGTAACCCAGAGGTGCCTGCTGACCTGTTCCAAGAGACGCCAGGCGTTGTCACGAGTGGGATGCTGCTGTAGGACGAACCTTCCGAGCACGCCGAGAGGCGCCGTCAAGTTGCCAGGTTGGAGGTGCTGAAGCGGATGGATGACCGAGCAGCTCGTGCTGTTTTGGATGCCTGGCCCCGCGCGGTGCAGAAGTTTTCTCCAAATGATCGCGCGGCGGTCTGGCGCCGAGGTCGTGGAATCCCAGGGGAGAAGGCGCGTGCTAGATGGCGAGGATCTGGAGTTCTCATTGGTCCTGTTCGAGGGTGCTGCCTGGCGATGCCTGGCGCGGTGTCGAGAGCGTTTCCTGAACGGCTGCGTCGCGAGACGGAGGAGGAAAAGCTGGCAGCAGAGGTCGCGCGCCCTGAGCTGCAGACGTTGGCGCGGGAGTTCATTTCGGGAGCTGGCCCCCAGAAGGGCTTCCTGGACATCGCGGGCGAAGGTGGGCCGCCTGCTGCTGCTGGCGCGTCTGCTACTGCTGGTGAACCACCTCGAGAAGCTGTTCCTGAAGCTGTTGCGCGGAATTCAGGTCCGGAAAATCACAGCGGCGCAGTCCTGGGTTCAGAGTCGCCAGGACAGGTGACCAGCGCCGAGGGCACCCCTTCCACAGGAGGCGTGGGATCAGTGAGTGGTGCTGGTACCCATTCCGTTTTGCTGGATCAAGGTGGTCCTGGTCACGAGTCGCGGGCGTCGCTAGAGGTGGCAGCTCAAGCTTTTTGCGGTGCGACCTGAGTCGCTGGCGTACCAGTGCCACCAGCTGCAGCTGCAAATAGAGATGCCGAAGTGCGTCATGAGGATTTCCGTCGTCGACCTCGACCTGATGGGGGCCCGTCTGGAGCAGTTGTTTTCTCGGACCAGGTGGAGGGTGAGGAGGGGCTTGGGGTTCTGTGCGCATGCCAGCGCGACGACGCTGAGGTGGACCACGTTTTGCTGACAAATGGCCAGACGGAGGTTAATCTCAAGCATGAGCCGAGGAGGGCAAGGCTTCGGCGGCGGCTGGCATTCAGGAGGAGTGAAACAGTGCGCACTCGGAGAAGCAGGCTTCGAAACCACTGAGCTCGGAAGAGTCTGCCCAGATTCGTCGTGAGAGTCACGGTCGTATCTTGGGTAGCCGCATGGTGATGACATCCAAGATCCACGACATCGACAAGCTGATTGTTACGGCTCGTCTCTGTGGTCAAGGATATTCGGACTATGACTTGCTGCAGTTGGTTTGCGAGCTGAAGACTTCATCACCGACGTTATCTCACAATGGGAAAGTCGCCGCGCACCAACCCTTTTGCGTCCAACAAGTTCAGTATGAACATTGCTGATGCGGCGGGTGCTTTTTTGGAAGCAGCTGAGCTCGAGCGGTCGACGGGCAAGATATCTTCGGCAACCGAGCCGTTGTCTTCCGGGTCTTTCGCCGGAGCAGATCCTAGTGGTGGTGGGGCCCATCTGCGCCTTGAATGATTATCCGACCATGTGGCGGCAGAATTTCCGTGATATTTTGTTGCAGTGGAGCCCTGAGTCTGTGGGCTCAGGTTGGGTCGAGTCGAAGATGGTCCCGCGCATTTTCTGTGTGTACGAGGAAGGCAAGCTGCGTGGCCGCATCGCTGCGCATGTGGACGATGCACTGTCTGGAGCCGCTGGTGAAAAATATCGGTTCGCTATCCAATATCTTCGCCGAGCATTTCCGTGTCGGATGTGGCGCGTTGGTCAGGGTGACTTTGCGGTTCTTCGTTGTGGCAAGATTTTCAGACGTTTAATTTGATTATGCCCCAATAAGGTTTCGCAACCGACATGGCGCCTGCTGGCGCGTGACCCCGATGCTCTCCCGATCTTTCTGCCACCGGGCGAGGCGCTTCGAACGTTCTAACTAAGTTGGGTGGTGGGAACTGGTTGGCTTGGGAGATTTGCACAGACATAGCGGTTCAGGTGTGTGTCGATGGGGTAGCAGATATTTCCGAGACCGACGGTTGGGGAAAGCCGACACGCGAACAATTTCGCTCGACGGGCGAGGCAGTTCACTTCGATGCGATGGCGAGTGCGACATAGACCGCTACATCGACTTCGAATGGTTGCTCATGCTGATGCCTCGAATCAGAACGCTGCTAACTGCGGATCTCAAGCAGGCTATGTTATTGCGGCTACCGGCGAAAAAATGGTCCAACACATGCTTGCCCCGCGGGGCCCGTTGTGCTGGCGTAGCGATTGTCTCCGTCGAGTTACAGCATCTACTCTAGCGGCTGAAGCTCAAGCGCAGATGGGCCGTCTTGGCCATGTAGAGTGGCTGGCGTGTATCCTGGTGGAGACCCTGGGCCAATATTTTTCCCTGGAAGCTCGGTCAAATTTCTCCTTCGCCTATGCGCCATAGCAGCATCTGATTACAAATCCCTGTGGGAGCACATGGTGCCTCGAAGTAGTGCAGGTGCGGCGACAGACAAGCGCGTCGCAGTAGATCTCGCGATTACCGAAGCAAGTCTAACACGTTTTTGAACCACGGTAAGATGGATACCTACCACACCACAGCTAGTTGACATATTCACTAAGGACAATGTGGAGGCGGCGGATCGAACATGGGCTACTATGGTAACGGGGGAGTGCCATTTTGCCAACGAGCCTACAGTGCTTGCTGCTGCTGCCTGGGAGCGGGAACGTACAATTCTCTTCTCGGCTTAAGTTATATCGACTGCAACCGCGGGGAACATATTTCTGCAAGACTTTCGGAAGCATAGTCAGGTCTGCGACTTCACTGAGCGAAGTGGAGGTGCAAAGTTTCCCCGAGGGCCTTGCCTCAGGACCCTCGGATATCACGAACGCCGCCGGGAAGTGCCACGTGACGACTACCATGGCGACGCTAGCCAGCTACGACGGCCCACAAGCTCGGGGCTCGGGCCACATGTCAATTCGCACGGAAGCGGTGGTGGGGGACGAGGCTTTCCGGATGATGAGGTCCTTCGACACGGTCTACAAGAAGCTCATGAAGGGCGCAGTTGTTTCGGCTCCAGACGGGGGGGAGACGGCGGTGCTGACGTTCCGCAGACCAGCGTGGAGCGATTACGAGGCACTCAAGTCTCTGGAGAGGGCGGCATCGGACGACTGGCGGATCGCAGACGGTCGTCCCAGGCGCAGCCATGTGCCCGACAGCGAGAGCTACCATCTCGGGATTCAGACAGTATGCGACACTGTCAACGCGGAGCTCAATGACCACGCGCTGTTCCGTGCGAGGCTGCTTTGCCTGCCGGTAAATGATTTTCGGAGCTTCCGAGAGCAATACGATCGACACCGAGGCCCCGACCTTCCCGAAGAGTTAGGGCAGCAAAATGAAGCTGGAGCACTAGATGACTGCAGGTGCTGACGCAGTGTGAGCAGTTCCCCGGGCCACCACGTGTTTAAAATATTGTTGATGAGTGCCGATCTGAGGTGTTATGGGCGAGGGCGCCTGCCCTCAGACGTGTGTGCGTGCACGTACTGGCCGAAGCAATTTCGGCCCGGTCTCAGGAGAAAATAGGCGCGCGGGGGCGCGCCTCTCGGAGGATCTGCACTTATTGAAGCGTTTTGGGCGCTTCTTGGGCCATCTTGAGACCAACTGGAACCATTTTGGAACGCTCTTGGCCTGAGGCCGTGGGGCTTGCCACCTAGTTGGCGACTCCTTGGGTATCTGCTGGGGCGCTCGGGGGGCTCCCAGGTCCCCGCCCGGATCTTCCAGCATCCGTGGCCCGACCCTGCCGAGGACCTGGCCGGGAACCTGCCGGGGAGTTTCCCGAATACTGGTGTACTGTTCCTCCGGGGACCCCCGGGGCCGTCACGCCGCACGCGCGCGAGCTGGAAACATTTTGAAGTTCTGGCCGTGGCTTTTGGTATACGCCTCTGGCCCGTTGTGCCGGCCTTTTCTTTTTTGTCTTGCCTGGCGTTTCCGCCTCGTTCCGGATCCGATCGGCCTCGCATTCTCGCAGATCGATCCGACTCGAACAGTGGCGCAGAAAGATGAGGTACGGGGCTCCGGTCGTGCTGTTTCACGATTGTGCAATCTTCTTGCTACGTGGGATTTCAAGGAAGAGAAGGTGGAGGGGGAGGAGGGGTGGAGGAGAAGGAGGAGAAGGAGGATGAGGAGGATTGAGGGTTCTGGGCATGGATGGAAGGGGTGGCAACGAAGACCTGCAACAGTCCCAGCCCAATCATGGAGCACTGTCGGTATTGCAGCACACCTTGTCCATTTTGGGGCGAAGATTGCCAGAAACCGTCCGTCTCTTCACGACGAGAGGACAGCCCAGCGCACACGTGTGGGTTCGCGAATGAGCATCAGAGATAACAGAGATACCGAGAGCATGGGACGGAGAGCAAGTGCAACATATCCGCATCCTCGCCGTTTTCTGCGTTTCTGCTACCCTCCGAGGGGTCAGGGGGGGCCGCTTCTTGAGCTGACAACCGGGACCCACACTCGGGGGTGGAATTCTCGGGGGGCTATGGGCGTGCATTGTCTGATGGCTGGGCCCGACAGTTCGCATACATGCCCATAGCGCCTTCATCGCTTTGCCCTTCCCCTTTCTCCTATGCGGGGAGTTATTCTTCCCACCGCCCAGGGGATCGAGCTCTGGGGACCTCGGCAGGCGTTGGATTTATGAATGTATTCGGGCCGTCTCGCACTAGCCGTTCCACGCGGTTTCTGCGGTTCCGGCACGCGGCGGCCGAGACATCGTGGAACGTTTGCCCACGACGCGGTTGGTCTTCTACCAGCCGGCACAGCCGTGGTGAACTAGGGTGCTGCCTCTGCGGCCTCCCTCGGCGCACCTGGCGAGTTCACTTCTGATCTGGCACGCTTTGCACAACCGGACTCGCCTCAACACTGCAATTTCGAACAGGGCGGCTGCTCCCGCAGGCCAGCCCCCACGAGCTGCGGGCAACACCCGCATCCGCGCCCCCCAGCTTGAATTCTGGGGCGTGCTCCCGCGGACACGCGGTCGCGCGGACACGTTTCGCGCTGGGCATCCGCGAAAAAGCGCCCCGCAACCGTCAGCATCGTTGAACCGATCCCTATCCCGCTGGTCCATCCCCGTCCAGGTGCCCATCATCCCATCGGCCAGTGGGGATAGGGATCGGTGAAACGATCCTCACTCTCCGCCGGGCCGCGGCCCAGGGGCCCGGAAGGCGAGGCCGCGATTGCGGATACGTCAAGAGGGGAAAACACACACAAACACAATGAACCGTCGATTCCCAGGAAAATATGGAAAAATATAAAAAAATACGAGACGAAGACCCAGAAATTACTGGAAAAATGTACGGCACCCTGGGATTTCTGTGCGCATCGATCCGTGTGCCCTTTTGGGCCCCTTGGACTCCGCCCTCCCCCCGTGGCGCGTGCTGCTGCTGTGCTCCCGCAGGCCCGCGCCGCCGGCCCCGCCGCGCGGGGGGAGCGGGCCACCGGTCGGGCGCAGCGCCGCCGCCGCCCGGCGCCGCGCGCGCCCGGGCGCGCGCGGCGCGGCCGGACGGCGGGCCGGCGGGCGCGGTCTCGATCAAAGGGCGCGCGGGAGGCGGAGAAGGAGCAGCGGAGGGGGGGCAGGGGGGCGGCGGAGGAGCGGGGGGAGGAGGGCGGAGCAACGAGGCGCAGGTGGAGGAGGAGGGGCAGGAGGGCTGTCTCGGGTTCGGAGGCCGTTGCGAGCCGTCTCGGGCTCAGGGGCCGTCTCGAGGCTCGGGGGCAGTGGAGCGTGCCGAGGACAGGTCTCAGCACGCCTGCCGCGCGCGCGAGGGCGCGCGCGCGCGGCTGGGCTGCGCGGACAGACCGCGAGAGGCCCGCAGCGGCAGTGGAGGGGGGGGCAGGGGGGCGGGATGAGGGGGAGGAGGGCGGAGCAACGAGGCGCAGGTAGAGGAGGAGGGGCAGGAGGAGGAGGAGGAGGAGGAGGAGGAGGAGGAGGAGGAGGAGGAGGAGGAGGATGGAGGAGGGAGAGGGGGAGGGGGAGGGGGAGGGGGAGGAGGAAGAGGGCGCACCTTCAACGAAGAGGAGCAGCGTAGGAGATGGGCAACGTTTTGCTAGCTGGCTGACGAGTTGACATGTTTTGCAAGCGACTGTGTTAGTGTGCTTGTCCCTCTTGGTGTCTATGTTGTCCCTTCTTGCCCAGAGGCACTGTTGCTAGAGAAGTAGGCATTTCTTGTTGACGCAGAGCCCTGAAGGCTTCTCGGTCCAGGCACCTGGTATCGTCATGAGCCATCGGCTTGATGACGTCACACTGCACAAGGCATGCGTGCAGTAGCGCCAGCGGAAGTAGGAAATGAAGAAGAAAGAGGGGCAACTCCCAAATCTCAGACAAATTGTTAGTTTTCCAATCCTATGGTGTTTTCTCGATTTCGTCCTGTGTTGCCCGTCGCCTGGCGTGGGGTCATCAGAAATGGATATGGGGTGAAAAACCGGTCACGGAGAAGGGTTCGCGGATTGAAATTACCTTGAGAGGTACCCAACCCGTTTGCGCTAAGTGACAAGAGGACATGGTCCAGAACCGTTTGGCCGATGACAACACAGGATCGGTCATTCTTTGTGTAAGCTATATGGGAAACGCGCGCGTCGCGCGACTCACAGGACAGCAATACTGGACGAGGTCTGAGGCCCCAGGCTTGAAGAGGAAGTGGGCATGGAAACGAAGGGCAGGAACAAAACAGACGGAAGAGGGGCCGAACAATTCAAGCGACAGACGCAATAATATAGTGAGGTAAGAAACATATGGCATCGCTCGGACGTGTGCATTTTTTCTCTGCGAGGGCCATCGAGGAGCATCCTTGATCCTTTGGCGGAAAAAAACACGAAACCGAACAACTACACAGGGAATAGACGTCCGAGCGATGGCCAGAACATGGCAACACAAATTAACAGGACGAGGAGTGAGTGTGGCGGTGGTTTCTTATAGTGCCACGCTGTGCGAGCAGCGCGGCCTCTTCCATGCCGCTCTGGCGCTTCCGAGGGCCAGCTGTTCATAGCTAGTGCAAATCTATCAAAATAGCGGGTCCTCCTCCTCATCCTCCTCCTGGCCCACTGAGGTTTTCGCTTCATTCCTGCACCGTGCAGCGCGGGAACCAAACGCCAGCAGGTGCGCCGCCAGGTCCTCGGGACCCGCGGGACGTCACCCCGCTGAACTCCCCACGGGTTGTCGAAGGGGGTGGCAGTTTCGCGGACCGCAGCCCCCGGGGATGGCGAGGTCAAGTTTAGGTCCGTGTAAGACGCCACCCCGTTGAACCTTTTCAGCAACTTTCGAGAATGACAGTTTCGCAGATCGCAGCCCCCTAGGGACTGCAAGGTTTAATTTAGGTCTGCGTACGATGCCATGTCGCAGGGCCCTCCCAGCAGCCCTCGAAAGAGGCGACAGCTCCGTAGATCCCCTGCCATCCCCTGCCCCCCACGTATGGCGAACTTTCGTGGCGGTCCTTGTGACGTCGCCCCACCTGGACCCCCCCAGCACTTTTCGAAAGTGGCAGCAGTTTCGCAGGTCGCAGTCCCACCAAAGGGATGGCGAGGTCCAAATGACGTCACTCCGTTGGACCCCCCAGCAGTTTTCGAATTTGGCGACATTTCCGCAGATCCCCCCCCCCCCCCCCCCCTCGCATGACGAGGTTCAATTGAGGTTTGCGTAAGACGTCGTTCCCCTGGACTTCCTGGCAGCCCTCGGAAGCGACGACAGTTTCAGAGATCGCAGCCTTCCAGGGATGGCGAGGTGTCCATTGAGGTCTGCGTATGACGCCGCCCCGTTGGACTTCGTAGCAGCTGTTGAAGCTGGCGACCATTTCGCAGATCGCAGCACCCCAGTGATGGCGAGGTTTGTTTTGGGTCCGCGTAGGGCGTCGCTCCGCTGGACCCCCCAGCAGCCTTCAGAACCCCCCCCACGGATGGCATGGTCGAACCATGTAAAATGTCACCCCGCTGGCCCCCCGAACGGCCTTCGAAAATGGCGGCAGCCGCCCTCGAACATGGCGGCATATTCGCAGACCTCAGCCCCCCAGGGATGGCGAGGTTTGTGTTGGGTCCGCGTGAGTCGTCGCTACGCTGGACCCCCCAGACGTCCTGTTCGCAGCCCCCCCAAAGATTGCAAGTTTGAGTTTGGGTCCGCGTAAAACGTCTCTCCGCTGGACCCCCGAGCAGCCTTCGAAAATTCCTGACGCTTTGCGGTTTCGTCTCCCTCCTCGGTGGAGGCTACGGGCGCCTGTGGTTCAGCCTAGGCACCCTCGTGGTTCCACCACGCTGCGTCCGCGATTTCGGCTGCAGTGTCGGTGTACACCCTGCCGCCGTCTGTTCGCGTCTGTCGCCATCCCTGCAGTGTCGACCGCGGACTGCGCCCCCCTCTGTCCGGGGCTCGGGTGTGCGACTTGCTGGCGCCACCACTCGCACCTGCCAGGCCTTGGCAGGCATCTTGGGTCACTCTGAGGTGCCCACCCTGGTCACATCGCGGTGCCACCACGCGCCATTTTGGCCGCGCCGAAGCTTCTGCTGTCCAATTCACTCGCATCCAATTCATTGCGTGGCGGTCGGTCCACCTGGCTCTGGGCACCCTGGTACTCTTGCAGTCCCGTGGGTGGTAACGCCCCTGCATGCAATTCACTCGCAGCTTGCAGACCATGGCAGCCGGCCACCCTGGCAGTCAGGCCCCCCACCTGCAGCTCGTTGCATGCGTGCACCCCTGGCAGCGCAGCCCCCCTGGCAGCCGCCGCCAGCCCCCCTCCACTCGCTGGCCCGCCCGCCGAGGTGCCGCGTGAGGCTCCGGCCCACTGTTTTAGGTTAGTTCGTCTTTGCGCGGCCCGCTCTGACTCGACTCGCCGCTGGCGCTCTCGCCTGCGGCCGCTGACTAAAAAGTATCCCCACCAGCCCATCCAGAAACGATGCCCATGAGAGGTGTCGGGGGGACAGAGGAAGAGACACGCATAGTCACACAACGAGGGAAGATTGGGAGGCTCCGTGGCCATCTCGAGCCGTCTTGGAGCGGTCTTGAGTTGGAGCAGCTCGGGCGCCATCTTGAGCCAGCTTGGACTATCTGAGCCGTCTTGGGGGTCATCTTGGGCTCTCTGAGGCCGTTCAGGGGCCTGTTGGGTGCCTCCCGGGTGCCTCTTGGAGCCCTCTTGAGGCCTCTTGAGGCGCTCTTGGAGCCCTTTTGGGCCCCGCGGGAGCCCTGAAGCGCCACTTGGGGCACTCTTGGAGGCCGTCGGTCAAAAGAGGGGGGGTCGATTTCTTTCCTCCCCTCGGGTGCCACGATCCTCGTGAAGGGTGTCAAACAAAGGCCATCCCAGGGGCCGAAAAAGGAGCCTCCAGCACCTCGCGACCCCGCCAGAAAAAAAACCTTGGGAGGGGAGTGGGAGGGTTCCCCTCTCCGAAAAGGGGAGCGGGGTTGTGGAAGAGGAAAGAGACCCTCGTTGGACCACTTGTCGCCCAAAGGGCCGGTGGGATGGCAGCTGTTTCGCATATCGCCGCTTTTCCCAGGCCATGCAGGACGACGACGCAGGAGTCAGGCTGGCAGGCAGGACGGGGGGGCAGGATGGCAGGCAGGATGGCCAACGGGCAAGAGGAATGGGGGCGGGAAGGAGGAGGCCTGCGCCCGCAGTGCTCTATGCAAAACGGCAGCCCAGCGCGGGACGGCTGGGATCACACGGATCGGCGTGTCTTTGGGTCAGGGAGGGGCGGCGGGTTCGATGCCAGACGTTTTCCAATTGTAATCGTGAATCTGCATGGTTTTCTAGTTTCGTGGTGTTCTCCGGCAGCTGCATGGAGGCCGAGCGGGCGGAGGGGGAATGCAGGGAAGACGAAGGATGAGGAACAAGAGGATGAGGATGATGACGGGGGAGCAAACAGAGATACGAATATTACGAGTACCATTGCTAGTACTAGTATAGATAGTAACAACAGTAATGATTATCATGCTGCTCGTGATAAGAATACTTAAGAATACTTATAACCAGAAGAAACAACTCATCCTGTTAATTGCAATACAAAGGACGATACGATCATATTGCTGGAAGGTTGAACAGTATGTAATAACCATAACAATGAAGAAGACATTTCGGACGATTATACGGATTTGGAAAATAATCGTACAAATGGCAAGACACATGCTAAGAACAATACTCGTACTACGGATAAGAACAAAGCGAATAGTGATACCAATATCATTAGTAACATGCATAGCAATGGTTGCAATCAGAACACAGTAATGATAGGATACCTAATCGTACTGATAGCAATTACCACAATACCAATACTCAGATGGTACTGAGCAGGAGGAGCAAGAGCAGGAGCGGCAAGAGGCGGGCGCAGAGGAGGAAGCAGTGGAGGAGCTGCAGGCAGAGTAGCAAGACGTGGGGGAGGAGGGAGAAAGTGGCCGCTCGACTGGCAGCAGTTAGCGACCTGGGCCGCTGGAGTTAGCCGCGACAAGGTGTGGGCATGGTCTTGTGACGGGCATACTCTTGGGAAGCTCCACCACCTCTTGGAATGAGCTGGAACGGGAGCTGAGGCGTGGGAGAAGGAAGGACAGGTCTGCGGAATGCAGGCCCCATATCGATCCGTTCGATCCGATTCGATATCGATTCTGGCCGACCCGATCCGATTCGGTTCAAGTTCTCCTACGATCCGGCACTGCCCGATGCTTACATGCCGTTGTTGCTCATTTTGGCCCAGCCGGTCCGATTTTATTCTGACTCCGTCCCCATGCAGTTCGACGCAGATGTTGGTTCGATCCGTCTCCCCCGCGAATCAATGTTGATTGATCATGGGAAGGGGTATGCAAGACGATGAAGAGCTGTTGGGGCTGGGGGAGATTCTCGAGAGGTTCGGGCGATTCGGGGGGTGCCCCCGCAGCCATCCAAAGATGTCACCGGCCTTTTTTGTCGATGCCACGCGGATCTATCCAGTGTGTGCACTCCCCCGGACTTGGGCGCTTGCTGTTCACTACCCTTAGAGCTCTCGCTTGGAGCCCGAACGTGCCACCCGGAAGGCGATGACAAGGGCCAGCGCTTCCTGGCGCCCAAGACAAACCGCAGACCTTTGGGGCAAAGGAGGAGGAGGAGGAGGAGGAGGAGGAGGAGGAGGAGGAGGAGGAGGAGGAGGAGGAGGAGGAGGCGGGCGCGGAGGAGGAGGAGCAGACGGAGGAGGAGGAGGAGGAGGAGGAGGAGGAGGAGGAGGAGGAGGCGGAGGAGGAGGAGGAGGAGAGGAGGAGGAGGCCGAGGAGGATGAGGAGGAGGAAGGGGTGGGGGGAGGGGGAGGGGGAGGGGGAGGGGGAGGGGAGGATGAGGAGGAGGAGGAGGAGGAGGAGGAAGAAAGGAGGAGGAGGAGGAGGATGATCAGGAGGAGGAGGAGGAGGAGGAGGAGGAGGAGGAGGAGGAGGGTGCGGAAAATCTCCCCCCATCCGGGCCTCATCCCCTCTGCAGTTTTCTGGAGGTAGCAAAGGGGTGTGGTGTAAAGGGATGTGGTGCCAATGCTGGATCCGGCGAGGTTATCTATCGTGGATAGCAACGCCATTTTCACGATTGGCACCACACCCCTTTCTGCCACACACCTTTCCAACCTCCAGGAGTTCTTGGTCGGCCCCCAGACATCCAGTCGGCCCCACTCCTGCGGCTGGTTCGTGCCGCGTCGACGGGGGACGGCCTCACAACATGGGCGTTCTAAGTCGATCACCGACGGGTCGCCCAGAACTGTCCTGCATCGAACGATCTTTGCCATCGGAATGCCGCGCTCGCTCAGGTCGGCGGAACGTAAGACTCGAGTAAGCCGGAATTCGGGTCTGCCGACGTTTTCTGACGAGCGTGTCCTGGATCTTGACGGTCCAGTTTCCGTGGGAGGTTTGCAGCAGGAGTTCGCGTCAAATTTCAGATTGGGTCTCGTCATTATTATGATAGCCCCAGCAGGCCAACCCGAGTCCTCCGTGCCCGAGTCGCACGTTTTCCCGATCAGGGCTGAACGATCGCCATGCGGTGTCAGAAATCAACCCCTGATTCGTCACGACACGAACCTGCCGTAGCCAATCTCCACGAGGAGTAGGAGGAGAAGGATGAGGATGACGAGGACGACGAGGATGACGACGACGACGACGATGACGTCGACGACGACGACGTCGACGACGACGACGAGGGCCGCAGCAGCTGTGGTGCTGCGAACTCTTCCTGTCGGAGGCTCCGCAGACTGCGACAACGACGATGAGGAGGTGGAGCAGAGGAGGCCGCACGCTCATCCAGGACATGGGCTCTCCCAGAAGGGGCCCCTCGACTCGGCCGCCTGCTGCTCCGGTGGCACTGCTCTGCCGGCCGACGCCGACCCTGGCACGCACGGCGCTTTTGCCGCGGGCTCGGCGCTCACGCGAGCCCGTCGACGAGGCAGGGCTGCTGCCGTCCTCAAGTCGAGCACACGGCGTGGCGAGGAGACGGCGCGAGCGGCGGCCGCGGAGGGAGGGGAACGGGGCATGAGAAACACGGGTCCCGAGGGAGGCACACGGGCAGGAGTGGCACACGGGCCCCGGGGCCTTCCCCCCCGAGCCGGCTTCCTCCGCACCGCGCGCAGTCTTCAAACCACGGCCCCGGGGCCCGTGGAGGACCCAGGGAGGCAGGAAGCGAGCCAACAGGGGAGCACCGGGGCCCGCCGCCTCCGGGGCCCGCTTCCTCCACGGCGGCGGCTGCTCCACGGTCCTCACTCCGCCGACGGTCGCAGCCGGGGCGCACGGCCGGCGCGCGGTGGCGCGGTGCCGCGCCCTGCAGTGCAGGCCGCCTCGCACTTCGGCCGCGCCCTCGCCCAGGGCGGGCCGCCTGCCCCCACGTCCAGCCTCTCGTCCAGAGCACTCCTGAGGCACCGTGGAGGGCCCAGGGAGGCGAAAGCCGCAGACAGGGACGTCGAGTCCCGCTTCCCGCGGGACCCGCTTCCTCCACGGCGATCGGCTGCTCCACGGTCGTCCTCGGTTTCTCGACGGCCGCCACGTCGGTGCCCGCAGCTGGCGCGCCGTGGCGCGATGCCGCGCCGCGAAGTGCAGGCCGTCTCTCGTGCTTTCGCCGCTCCCTCGCCCAGAGCAGGCTGCGGCGGCGGTCCGAGGCCGACGCCGTTGGCTCCACGGTCCGCTGAGGTCCGCCCAGGGGCGTTTCTGGCCCCCTCCCCCACGGCGTCTGCCCGCTTCGCAGCGCACTCGAGAGACGCGGGTGACATGTTTGTGTGGCTTGCTGTCTTCCCTCCGCAGGCCAGAGTTGAACCGACCCGCGCCCCGGATGAGCCCGCCGCCGCCGCCGCCGCCTGCCCCGCTTTACCTCGGGCCTGTCCCACTACGGGAGGAATATCCAAAAGTAGTCAAACAAAAGTCTGGGAACGTTTTGAAAAGTATTTTCAATAGGGGGCATATGTTGATTATGTTTGATTGTTCGTCCAAAATCCCCCTGTATGAGGGACAGGCCAGACCTAGTCCTCCTGCCCACCTCGACGGCCGCAACGTGAAGGCCCACAGCCCGGCGCGCCGCGGCGCGCTGTTCTGCACACGCGCCCGCTGGCGCAGAGGGCGTTTCCCAGACGTCGGCGAGCGGCGCTCGGCGCGGAAGAGGAGGAGGAGGAGGAGGAGGCAGAGCGTTCGGAGAGCGCCAATGCCGACAGGAATCAGGAATCAGAAGGAGGAGGAGGATGAGGAGGAGGAATTTGCTTGGCGGTGCCACGACGCCCCTGGCCGAGCGCCCCGCTCTTTTCCCCATTGCACGTGCTCAACCATCGAGGTGGATTAGGTTATATGATATGAGGGGAGGTCGGACGACGCGGGGACGGACTTGCCGGAGGTGATTGCGGCATGCTGCGCCGCTTCACCTGCATTTCTCTTTCGTTTTTGGACCCCCCCTCCCACCCAGCAGCCGGTTGTTGGGGCAGGACTGGTGGGCTTCTGTCCTCGACATTATCAGCCCTGAGTGAGTGAGTGAGGAGGAGGGACGCCTGTGGGCGCGGCGCGGCCGCGGCGGCGTCGACGCGCGTCCCGCAGCGTCTGCCAGCAGTGGCGGGATCAGCTGGAGCCGAGGAGAGCGCGCCGGGGCAGCGGCAGTTGGCCTTCGGGGGGGGGGCCCTTCGTCACCACCGCTGGACGCAGCTCGCGGACGGGATCCCGGGACGTGGCCAGGGAGCGACTTCGAGCTGCCGCTGCCTCAGCTTGCCATGCTCCGACTGGAGGGCAAGGGACTTAATGCCGACGCGGTGGAGGCGAGGAGCTCCGCCTCCCCAGAACTTCCGACGAGGCCCCCCCCACGACGTCCCCAAGAGGGCGCCGAGAAGGGCTCGGGCTCGGGCTCGGGCTCGGTTCCTGGGCTCGGTTCTTGGGCTCGGGCCTCGGCTCGGGGTGGAGCTCGAGAGCGGGCTGGGCTTCAGTCGCGGGCTGGTGCTCGGGCCCGGGCGTGGACTCGGCTGGTGCCCGGTCCCGGGCTGGGGCTAGGCCAGGCAGGACATGTCCCCGGGCTGGGGCTTCAGCTCGAGGTCGGGTTCGGGGGACGGGGCTCCCGGACGAAAGCGGCCCCCGCGCGGCCCGCGCCGGGCGCCCCCCGCTCGGGCAGGGCCCGCCCGGGCGGAGGCGTGGAGGAGGAGGAGGAGGAGGAGGAGGAGGAGGAGGAGGAGGAGGAGGAGGAGGAGGGGGAGGGGGAGGGGGAGGTTGGGGAAGATTCGAAGCCTTCGAAATCCCAAACGTGCCAGGGCGAAAATATGGTTCTGTGGTGTTAAGCCTGCCACTAGTTATGGGGAGGAGGTGGTGGGTTGGACGCCGAGAGAGATTCGCAAATTACGAAGTCAGGCTGCTGGCTTTCTTGGATTGACATCCTGTGGAGCCGATTTAAATTTGGCACTTTCGCTGGAGCCGACTAGAGATCCTGTCAAGCATGCTGCTGCTACTCTTCGTCGCTTTGCTAAAGAAGTCTGGATGGCATCTACTCCTGGGCACCGCCATGGCGATGGGTTGTCTGTGGGGGAGCTTTCTAAGATTTTGTTTGCTGTTCAGAATTACATCCAGGAACACTCCAGAAGTTCATGGGCCAAGAAATCCTGGGGACCCATAGGAGACATGATTCTCTGGCTCGGCATGGCGAACTGGCAGATTCGAGGCCCGCTCAGTTTTAACATGAGCAACGGGGACCCGCTGCTGTTGACAGATACGCCGTTCGTGCAGGTAGAGAAGTACTTCGTTCGAGATTTGTCTAAGGCCTACGTGGCCCAGAGTATGAGCAGGCACCTGAGGGACTCTGAACATCCGAGGGCTCTAGATATTTTGCATCGTGGGCTGTGGACGGACCCGCCGAGGTCCTTTTGGGCCAGCAAAAAGCGTCATCGTGGTGTTCAAAAAGTTGTCGAAGAAATATTTTGCAGGTCGTATGTCACGGCCAAGCGTTTACATGATTGGAAGTACGAGATCCCTCCGGTGCGCCCTTTTTGCAGATCCTCCGAGGGAGGAGCCGAGGACTCTGTATGGCACCGCTGCTTTGTCTGTCCAGGTCTCTCTGACAGGCGATATGAGGCATTGAGTGCTGATGTGGTTCGGCTAGCTGTGGAAGCTGGCCCCGACGATCCTCTCTACTCCAGCCTGTGGGACGCCCAGCCCGAGGGGATTCAGGATGCCTTGTGGGATGGAGTGGTTCGGTATTTCGACAGGTCGGGGGAAACAACCAAGTTCATGTTCAGCCGTTGCGAAAAACTGTACTCGGACGGTAGTTGCTACTCCCCCACCCATGGTTATGTGGCCCGTGCGGGCTGGGCCGTCATTCAAATAGACGACGCAGGGGACTTTGTAACAGCTGTGCGTGGTAACCTGCCTGGTTTTCTGCCTCAGAGTGCTGTGTTCGCCGAGCACTACGCCTTGCTCCAGGCCCTGGAGCATTTTGAACACTGATGAGGACGAGCCGTTCAGGCTGAACGTGGACTGCCAGGCCCTTTTTGCAGGCCCTCGAGATCAGAGGGCATCGACGAGCGGGAGAACACCGCGCAGTGAAGTCTGGAAAGTGCTCTACTCCTCGCCCCGCCCGCCTTTCGTGTTGAACAAGGTTAAATCTCATGTGGGGGAAGACGTTGTTGGTGCGGCTCGGGTTCATTAGCGTGGAAACGAGTATGCCGACGAGCATGCAAAGGACGGGGCCAAAATGCATCCCGAGTTGGCCCAGAACATTGTCAATTACGAGCTGGCTCTGAGTACTTGGGAAGTCTTGGCAGTAGGCATGGGCCAAAATTTAGACAGCCTTCCAGAGGCCAGATCTCTTTTTGGTAAACTAGAGCGCGCCCCGAGAGTTCCCAGGCCTGTGGTCCTCCCCAGCGGCCTGAAGCCTCACCGTGTGCGCTGGAATGGGTGTCGGTGGCGGTGCCTTGCGTGCGCCCGTGCTTTTGATTCTAAGAATCCTAGGGGGTCCTGCGCGGCCTTAACCCCCTCAATGCGTTCGCTGATTAATCAGGTCGACAACCCCAAGCCCCACACACTGCATGTCGCCAAAATTGTTCAGTCTTCTTTGCCTGTGGTGTTGTGCCTCAGGTGTGGGGCTTATTGTACTGGGGCTCCTCGTCAGCTAAGTCTTTGCACAGCGGAGGAGACAGCTTCTGAGAGGCGACCTTCCCTGGCCGCGGGGACAGAATATCACAAGCCCTTGGCCACTCAGCCTCGCGCCTCATGAGGAGGCGGAGTGGTGGACCAAGCTTTTTTGATGGTGTTGTTGAATTGTCTTGGCGTGCTCGCCCTGTCGGGCGTGTTCTTTGGCCATTGCCTGTGGGCGGTGGCGGGGGCAGCCAGGCACCTGGGCCTCTGCCCTGCGCCTGCATGGCGGTCCTGGCCTTCGGGCTCCGCCCTGCAGGCGCTGTGTAGAGGTGGTCGGTGGTGTTTGGGGGCCCCTGTGCAGCCCCTTCGATCATATATTGGTGGGAGCCAAGCGAGAGCCACTGGAAAAGGGGGGAGGGGAGGGGGAGGGGAGGGGAGGGGGAGGGGGGGAGGGGGAGGAGGAGGAGGAGGCGGAGAAGGAGGAGGGGGAGGGGGAGGAGGAGGGGGGAGGAGGAAGAACAGGAACCCTCGGCCGCCCCTCCCGCCGCCCAGGCGAGCGCGGCGACGAGCCTCCGTGCGGAGGCCCCGCCGCGCGGGCGCTGCGTGTGCGCGCGCTGCGTCCTCGCGCCTCCGGGAGGGGGGAGGGTCGAATAGCAAATGATGGGCCGATGTTCCAACACCACTACCATATGTAGGAGGAGGAGGAGGAGGAGGAGGAGGAGGAGGAGGAGGAGGAGGAGGAGATGGACCTCCCCATTCTTTTTTTTTTCCGTCCTACCGATTTTAGCGGTGGTGGAGAATTGGCCCATCATCGAACAGCAGCGAGGGGGGCCTCTGGGAGGGGGACGTCGAATGCATTGGATACCCATGCCTAGAAACACCCTGCTTGCCTGCAGGGTGCCCTGGCTTTCTTTGGTTTCGATGGTTCTGCGATGGAGAGCGTGACGCTTCCACGAGAAAGATTCATGGACGTCCTGGGGTCTCAGGGTCAGGCTTCCTGAGGATGGTTTCCTGTGGTCGAGATCCTACTGTATCAGAGCGCAGCGAGGGGGGGGGCATCCGGGAGAGGGAGATCGAAGCACAGGAAGCGGCACGAGCATGATTTCTCGGAGGCTCGCGCGGATTTCTCGAGTCGGCGCCGGGCCCCTTGGCGGCGCCTCTGCCATCGCCTCTAGCTCTTAAGTCGGACCTGTCCCTCTACAGGAGGAATATTCAACAGTAGTCCAAATATAGTCTAGGGGCGATTTTTAAAAAGTATTTTGGGGCATATGTTGGGCATTCCTGGAGTATGTTTTTTTGTCGTCCAAACTCCGCCTGAAGGGGGGCATGCCGGACCTCACTCTAACTCGCGCAGCGCGCTGGGAAGGGGGGGCGCCCATTCAAGAAGTCGTTGTGGACCTCCGAGGCTTCGCGTTTATGCCGTTATTTGTTCCGCTGGGAAGAGGAGGATCGAGCAGTGGCGAAGCGTCTTGACTCGCAGTTAGGCGTACCAAATAATGTTTTAAGAACCTTTTGTGGTTTCCACGAAATGTTCTTGAAACATTTCTTTCTGGGACTGTCTTGTTTTAACACGTCGGGCTCATGTTCTGAGAACACTGTTTTGTTATTCGAACATCATCGGGTTCGATGCAAATGTCGTGGTAGGCCTATAGGAATGCCGGGACGGTCGGTCCCTGCTCAAGGCGGAGGGGGACCAGCTGGGGTACTGTTCTGGTGTCTGGGGCCTTTGGGGACCCTCGGGAGACCACTCGGCCGCCCTCCTGACCGATGTGGGCCCGTTGCCTAGGGGGCCTCCTGCAGGGGCGTCCAGGGGACCGGGGGGTCTGGTTTTTCAAGCAGTGGCGAAGCGTCCTGGCGAGCCTATAGCCTATAGTCCTACCAAACAATGTTCTAAGAACCTGGTGTAGTTTCCACGAAATGTTCTTAGAGCATGTCTGGCAGAGTCGGTCTTGTTTGAACACATCGGGTCTATGTTTTAAGATCGTTGTTTATGTTATTTGAACCTGGTGCGGTTCTAAGACATTTCGTGGTAGGACTATAGGAATGGCGGGACGGTCGGTCCCTGCTCAAGGATTCCCCCCATCAGGTTTACGAATATATTTTGAGATGTCATTGTGTATAGATCTGTGTGTAAGGCGTGTATACACACATCTACACTACACACACACACATATATATATATATATATATATATATATATATATATATGCAAGACTGCAGTGGCGCTCCTCGCCATGCACCTTGGTCCTTGAAGTGTAGCATGGAGGCGGAATAGCAGAAAGGTCAAGCCGACAATTTAGCGATAACTCCTTGTTGTCTTTTCCGGCATCGTCGCTATAGTAATTGTATTCGCTATCCTTTCGACGAGCCGAAATCCTTCACATCAGTAATTTTGGGTCTCGGAGCCCACAGGGCGGTTTTTCATGTTTTCCATTCGACGTTCCATGAAGCCCGATGTCATTCCGAGGCCGCGCGTCGAACGTTTTCGATGGCGCGTCGCGTTATGCGATGTCACGTGCGTTGGGGTCGTCAAAGGCTTGCGTGCTTGTTGCGGATCGGTTGATGTGGGCTGGGGTTTCTCAGGATTGTACATTTGCTTTGCGCTGGGGCGGTTTCGACCCCCATCCCTGGCTGATCCACCCCGCGGGTAACGTCGCAGGAAGAGTTCGATCATTTCGTTCGTAGTGCCAGCGATGCTGTCGCGGACATTGACCGCGCCACGGGGGGGGGTCGTCCAGAAATTTCCTACCATATTGCAGTGTTGGTTCTTCGTTTTGAAGAGACACCGCCCCGCGTCATTCCTTCCGGCCCCCTCCCTCGTCCTCCCTCTTCGCGTATCTGCCCCTGCTCTCCGCGTGTCTCCGTCGTCATCGTCCATCGTCATCGTCGCCATCACCATCATCATCAGCATCATCAGCATTCTCGCCGTCTCCATCATCAATACCACCACCATCCTCATCAACATCATCAAAACACCCCCCTTGTTCCCCCGCGTCTCTGCTTCGCCACATCCCCCGCAAGTCTCGTGGCCTTGTGAGGTGCTCCACCGAAGGCCCCATCGGCAGGGTCCTTAGTGCGCCGCCCAGCCCATGTCGGCACGCCCCTCAGACGCTTCGTGTCCCCATGAGGAGCTCATCGGAGGTCCCGGCGGCAAGGTCCACATGCCGTCGCCCAGGCCACATTGATGACACCCTCAAACATTTCGTGCCCCTATAGGCAGCTCCACCAAAAAAAGGTCCCAGCGGCAGGTTTCCCAGGCCGCCGCCCAGCATATTTCGGCATACGTTTCACACGCTTCGTGGCCCCACGGGGAGCTACACCGACGGCCCCACAGGCAGGGCCCACAGGCCGCCGCCCAGCCCATTCCGTCATACGCTCACAAGCTTCGTGGCCCCATTGGGGAGCACCCCCGATGGCCCAAGCGACAGGGTCCACATGCCGTCGCCCAGCCCATGTCGTCCACGAGTGGCGCCCAGCACGGCTCCAAGAGCGCCCCAAGAGGCGCCGAGTAAGTTGCACCCTCATGCAAATAGTTTTTGTCACTTGTGGGGGTCCTCTTGGGGCCCTCTTGGAGCATTCTTGGGGCCCTCTGGGAGCGTTCTTGGGGCCTTCCCGGGGCCCCAGTGGGCCCTCGGAGGGCCCCAAGAACGTTCCCCGAGGGCCCCAAGAGGGACCCCCCAAAGTGGTACAAAGAATTCGCGCGAACGTGCAATCTGTTGTAGGCCTTTCGGGGCCCTCTGGGAGCTCTCTTGGGGCCCCCATTGGTGGCGCCTTGGGGCCTTGGGATGGCTCCAAGAGGCTTCGGGATTGCCCCAGACCGCCACAAGACAGCTCCGAGACGGCCGTCGAGCACCACGGGTGAAAGCAAGTGAGGCTAGGGAACAGGGCCTCTGGTAAGCCGCCACTGCGCCCCCTGGACTACCCAGACAGCGAGGGGACCTGAAACGCCCTGGGGCTCCAGGGGCCCCAGATTAGTGAAGTGAAGGTTTTTGCCATGCAAGCACCCCGAAATTCTTCACTTCACTAAACCGGACCCAGGACGAACTCGCTACGCTCCAGTCCCGCGGGAGATCCAAGACTCCCGCCGCCGCCCGGGGACGTTGCTGCATTGCGGTGCTCTGGTCACTGTTAATGGCTTCCGCGGGCTGCAGCGGCTCACTTCCATGACTACCCCGACTCACGAATCCAGTGGTTGGTCTGGCTCTATGGGTTGGTTTCGTTGTGTCGGTTGATTTTATGCTTGGTTGGCGGTCGGTGGATTTCGCGTTGTTCATTGGTGTCGTGAAGTGATTTGTCGTTTGGTTGGTCAGTGCCGTTTTGTTGATTCGTGCCGTTTTGTTGGTTGGTGTCGTTTCGTTGGTTGGTGTCGTTTTGTTGCTTGGTGTCGTTTTGTTGCTTGGTGTCCGGTGTCGATTTGTTGGTTTGTTGGTTGGTGTCGGTTTGTTGGTTGGTGTCGTTTTGTTGCTTGGCGTCGTCCTGGCGGCGTGGCCGATAATCGGCGGCCTGCAATGGCGCCAGGATTTGTTTCGGGCCAGCCTTGATCGCCCTCATCATTCTCATATTCGTCAGCGTCAGCACTCGTCGCCCCCATCCGCGCACACATGCGGCCCTGGTACGGCTCTCACGCGGCCCTGCGAAGGCCTTCACTGTGCTCCCCAAAGCTTTCTGAGGGGCCCCCCAGAGGCCCCAAGAGGGCACTGGAAATTGTCGCTTCCAACTCCGCCAGGCGGAGGTCAACAAGGGTCTCACTGGTGCACTTCCAGGAATCGTCGTTCGATCCTCTTGGGGCCCTCCTGGGGCCTTCTGGAGCCGTCTTGGAAGCTCCGAGCGGCTCCATGAAGGCGCCGGGCGATATCGCTTCCAATTCCGCCAGGTGGAGTTAGACCAGGGGCTCACTGAGGCCCCTTTTTGCGCCCTCCTCTGCCTTTGAAAAAGCCCCGATGGGGTTCTTCAGTGCCGTCTTAGGGCCCCTAAGAGGCCTCCAGTAGGGTATTGAAGTTATCGCTTCCAACTCCGCCACGCGGAGTTGAACCCAGGGCGGCTCTCTATGGCCCTTTCGGGGCCTTCTTAGAGCTTTTCTGAGGCCCTAAGTGGGCCCTGGGAGGTGTCATTTTCACGGGCGTTGAAAGTGACACCGCGGAGGGCCCTCTTGGGCCCTTCTTGGGGCCTCTCTTGGGTCCCTCTGGGAGCCCTCTTGGTGCCGCCCTGGGGCCTTCTCGGGGCCTTCTTGGAGCCTTTCTGGTGCTCTTTAAGTGGGCCCTGGGAGGTGTCACTTTCACGGGCGCTGAAAGTGACACATCGAAGGGCCCGCTTTCCCTCGTAGCGCTGCCCGTGGCCGGGGCATTGTGCAGCGCATCCCTCGTCGAACGTATTTTGTCGGACGCGTGGTCGAATTCCGCCAGTTCGGTCGAGATGGTGGTCAAGCGGTTCGGTTGCAATGTAGCCATGCGGATCTGAGCTTACCATTTCTTGCCATTTTGGCGGGGATCGCAGGAGCGTTTGTGTTGTGATCAACTGTGCTCGATATATCCAGCGGCAGCGTTTCATCCCAATATATTATTATCAAAAAATGTCAGCAGGGG